TAATTTGTATACAATTAGGGGGTTATCATCTTTTTTTATGATACTGATGAATAGTACTTGATTGTGAATCTTTATTTTCCATTATTAGCAAGTTTATTACCATGTTCAAGTATTATTCAATGCCTATGTCTTGACCTATTATACAAGGAGAGGGTGTGCATAGGCTTTTCCCAATCCTTATTGAATTACTCAATAAAATATGTTTAAATTAAGTAGCTAGTTTGTCTTTTGGAATATAATTGGTGGAACCCTGAAGGTGTGCAATATCTACTCGGAATTTTGATTTTCATTCTGAGGGCCAATTGGGGGGGGGGGGGCTATGTGTTTTTGCTTTGTGTTGTTTTTAATTACAAATACTTCAGTACTTGGTTCCCAGAACTCTCACATTTTATGGAGTAGACTTAAAATCTTCAAGAATATTATTGGTGGTGTCCTGGGTTGTGCAATAAGGTTTTTAATTAATGTAGATGATCATATCCCCATAGGGAGCAAAGTTGAGGGTGACAATTTATTTACATTATGTACATTATTTTACTCATACGTTTATTAAAAAAAGTTCGGGTATATTGTTGTTGCTCTGGTCCACCTGTCTCTCCGTCTCTCACACTGCGCCTATTGTATCTTCTTCCTCAAAATCCTCTTAAAATTTAAGCTATAGCCAATTCATTTTTTGTAATATGATTGGTAAACATACTGTACATGCATGTACAAAAAGATTTTTGGATTTTCTTTTTCATCCTAAGGGCCAATTACAGGTCGATAATAACATTTTTCTTCCAAACAATGTTCGAACTACAATTTACACAGTAGCCGCCAAATCATCTTAGGGAATATGATTGGTGATGTCCTGTTGATGTAAATTTGGGTGTCGGAATTTTAAAATTCACCTTGCAGGTCAATTGGGGGTCGAAAAACCTTTTCGAAAATCTGGTTCCCAGAATTTCTCGTATACATTTTATGCAGTAGCCAAATCATCTTGGAAACATGATTGGTGGTGTACTGTAGATGCGCAATATTTTACGTTTATAGGAGAGGTTATATGAGGACCATTTTTTTTTTTATAAAATACAAACTTCATGTTTCCAAAGCTGCTTTAAATTTTTACGCAGTAGCCTAATCATATTTTAGAATATGATTGATTTTGTCCTGTATATGTGCAGTAAGATTTTTGACTTTTCATTTTAACAATAATTTGGACCGAAAACATTTTTTTAAAATAAAAACCTTTCAAAATATATTTATGCTTCATTAAATCCTTTAATATTAGACTGGTGATGAATTTCTAATATGACTTGGCTACTGCGTAAAATATAATAGGAGTCGTAAGAACTTTTTTTTCTTAATAATCATCAGTTTTCGGACATCAATTTATATCAGTTTATATGAAACTTTATTGCACATCTATTTGACACCGATAATTACATTTATATGGGTAATGCGAAAAACATAAGAGGAGTTCTGGAAACCAGGCTCCAAGACCATAAACTGAGAACAGACTAAAGTCAAAATTTATAATTATTATAACTTTTGAATCAATTTTGAATACCAAAAAAAAAAAAAAAAAAAAAAAAAAAAAAATAAATAAATAAATAAATAAATAAAAATAAAAAAAATCAACATGCTTTTACAAGTACATGTACTTGAATATTATACAAACCTGCAACTTTTAATTAAAACACTTTTGTTTTATAAGATCAAGATAATCAAGATCCAAATTTTGACTTACGTATATTCTCAGTTTATATTCTTGGGGCCGGGTTTCTTTAGAATTTTTTGGACCACCAGTTTTCCCCAAGATGAAATTAAAAATTTCCAATACCTTATAGCAATTCCACAAGACACCACAAATTACATTCCAAAGATGATTTGGCTACTGCCTAAAATGTAATGGGCGTTCGGCAAATCTGCTTTTTTTTTTTTAGAATTTTTTTTCTTTTTATTCCAATTGACCCTTATGATGAAATGAAAATTCTAAACATCATTGCTCATCATACACCATCAATTATATTTCAAGCGATGACTTGGCGACTGCCAAAAATGTAAGAAGTTTGCAAAAGAAGAGTGTGACAGACGGACAGATTTTCCCCCTACTACTTTATTCCATTTCACTGTATTGTACATTGATCCATGAATTGATTTAATCGATTTGCAAAACCGTGCTGAAACTACATGAGTTCCTTTTTCTTGACAAAAATAACTACTTCCATTCAAACACAAAGATCGCCTGTAGAGATTACTCCGAATTTCTAAAGGTTCACTGTTATTCTTTGTTGCTTTGTTACTGAATCACAAGACGTCATGACCAGAATATTCCAGATTTCTATGGCCCACTATCTGCTTGCCAGACAGAACTGGATATTTAACATGTTACCAGACAAAGATAGAATTTATAAACTTTGAACCTCTATTTTTACGGTTTTTAAGATTTTTCACTCACCTGTGTACTAAATGTATTACATCTGTGAGCGTGTAGGTAAAATTGCGACGATTGCAACGTACATATGTAAAACGTATTATGTTCATAAATATCTATCGTTTATGCCTCTTTTTTTTTTAATCAAAGTTTCGTTCGACAATAATTAATATAAAATGTGGGATATATTTTACTTATCCATGAAAAATGAATATATATAATATATCAAATAATATATGCTGCAAAAGAAAAGTTTCTTATACATGAAAAACGCGTATTGTGATATTTAATTAGACATGTTTATATATGTTAATTCTGGCGACAATTTATATAATTTTGCTTTCACATATTTATCTTTGTTGTACGGTGCAATTTATTCGATTTTATTTAGATTATACTTGAGTTTTCAAATGCAATTTAGTAGTCTTTCATATCCTTAATTTGCTCTCTTTAATTTTTGTAATGATGGGTCATTTCATGAAGTTAATTTCGGATTTGTCAACATTTACATTCATTTTGTCTTCTAAAAAATGAATTTTTCATTAGTATTTATACAAAGAATGCAATGGCGGAAAAATTAATGTAAAGAACGTCTATTTCATTCATTCTTAAATCTCGGAAAGAAGCATTCGTGTAAATAAAAATCACTCAGTTACATGTAACTCTTCATTAAACAAACAAAATTGCCTTACAGAATCCTTAAGTGAGGAAGTGGCACAAAATATTTCGAAAATAAATATTTTGACGACTACCAGTGATTTAATTTACAGCTGAAGATCACGCCCTTCGTGTAACAATCATTCATTTTTAAAGCTGGAAACATTTTAAGAAAAAGTTTAAACATTGACTTTGTAGGTGTCCAGAAAGAAGGGAAACTGTACTTTCCAGGTCAAGGCTCGGTCTCAAAATTTCACGCTGAATTCACTCTAAGAGTTCTTGTCTGACGCAGCGACTGTTTCAGTTTAAAACAATCCGAGAAAAATTTCTCAGATTGGAGATCTTAATTAAAGTACTTCTTAATTCTAAGATTTGCAGGGATATCAGTAAGGTTATCATGTACAGTATATTTAACACTGATGTAAATTTAAAAAAAAATTATAGCTAGATCAGCTGTACCAGAACCAAACCACAATCTACAACATATTATGCATGGGTTGCCTTGCTGTGTTAAAATTTTAGTACTTTTTTTTCTTTTAAAAATCTTATCCAAAAAAAAAAAAAAAAAAAAATTAAAAAAAAATAAATAAAATTGCACATTGTACTAAAATGTTAAAAACTTTGAAGTGATATTCCCGAAGTCCAAAATTGAAAATTACATACGGAGAAAAGAATTACCTCAATAATTCTTGAGATTATAGCGTGGGTAAATCACTTACCGATCCTTTAATAATCTCAGATATAAGTACAATAAGTCATCTCAGTTTCGCCTGGCGCTGACCAACTCATGGTTGAAGCACTAAAAACAGAAGAAAAATATAATCTAATAAAAAATAAACATTGTCTTTAAAAATAATTTAGCTGGGTGTCTTTAAACAATAGAGTTGGTCATTTTTTTTGTAGAGAAAACGTGGTTTAATCCTGACCCCTATTCTTTTGTTTTGTTATCCATATTCAAGTTGTTTAATAAATAACAGGATATCATTCAAGGGACCTCTCATGCTACAACGTCTACATAAATACATTTTTTGTATCTCTTGAAAAAACAATACAAAATTTTGAAAGTATAATTAAATTAAACAACTATTGAGAATATCTACAACTGACGAATTAAGTCTGTAGCTCCATAAAATACTTGTAAATATTCCAACTACATAGTAATGTAGATAAAAGAAATAAGAACGATTTTGAGAATCAATTTTTGCTTCAAAATAACTTATCCAATTCTTTGTCTTTATAACCAACAGTTTATAATTGTTGGTCAAATAATTTTTGTTGCAGGAGAAGAAAATTTGAAAACAAAAGTTGAAAAAAAGATAAAATTTCTAAATTAATTTTCAAGTCAGATTACATGTTTTTAATTAAAATTCCACTTAAAAAATACAAATTTTGCTCCTTAGACTTTTGTAAGAAGATTAAACATTTTAGTTAGAAATGATTGTATTTATTTCAGTTGCTCAAAAATCCCAATCTTATCAACGTCGGACTTAAAAGGTTTAATTTTTTTTCCTCTATAGTGGACAACATTTGTATTTTTAACGTTTCTTCTCTTTTGAAAGATTATTGTTTGGAATTTGATCATTGTTCCCGATTTAAGGAGAAGTCGAAATCCGATCACTCAGGATTACACAAAAGAGCGTCCATGAGTGAAGCACGACCGCGCAAATCTCCCGCCGTTCACTCCCATAATTAAAATTACACTCATGGACGTGCAAAATTAATCACGTGCTTTAAAATTCAAAGGAAAGGTTCCTATGAGAAACGTTGGAACATCCATTTTCGCAATTTTCACGTTTGATTGGAATTAGGCTCCGCCCCTTGTCCACGAGTGATGGCATGTGTTCACCGGTGTGTGTCGGTAGTCGAGTATAAAACACAGAGGGGTACAGGGGACAGTCAGTTGTACTGAGGAGAAATTCATCCTAAGGCTGAAACAGAAGAGAATTCAATGTTCAGAATCGCCCTCCAGTTTGTACTGTACTTGTTTCTGTTGGATGTGGGAGGTTAGTTTATTTTTACTTATATTGTATATATTTAATATCAATATCTCTCTATAATCTCCATTTACCACACTCATGCATGGTCGTAACCTTTAACATTTACATGTTGTAAGTAGGCTTAGATAAAAAAATTATTTTGATATCTTTAAATCATATTGAATAATGTTGATTATATAAGATTAGAAAAATGTAAAAAAAAATATATGTCTTGAGTCTTTAAAACCATAATAATTTTTGTCTACTGTGCTTTTGGTTACTTAATAATTAAATATTCTTTTAATCATTGATAATTTTTTTTATTATAATCTAACGATTTTCTTTATATCTAGACTTAAAATTCTGTGAAAACACACCTTTTTACTTAAACTTAAATTGAATCTGAAAAAAAGTAAAATACATTTTTGTTTTGCAAAATTGATTCATGTGTGCATTAATTTTATGATTCATTTTCAATTTACGATTAAATTGAAATACTACATATCTTGCTATAAATTAGAAACAAGTTTGTTACACATGCATGTAATTTCTCCTTAAGAATTTTCTTTCAATAAAAAATTTGAATTCATCAGTAGAACAATGCAAAATTCTAACCCACGAAAAATTAGATCAGCTAATTTGCTGCAGTTTGATATTTTACTAAATAAGAACGTCTAAACCAAATTCTTTCGAAACAGAAATTATAAAAAGACTGAATCCGTGTGATTTTTCTTGCTGCAACGCCGATTAAACTTCAATTTTTTAAGAAGATTATAAAATCAGATTGTTAACTTTTTCAAAATTGATTGTTTTTAAGCAAAACTTGGATTTTTTTTACTCGGTAATAATTAATTAATGGGACATTGTACTCATGGCGAGAATATATAAATGAACTTATCTACATCTATATAAGAGAAGTATCTAAGATAGATTTAAGTAGAAACTTCATTAATTTGTTTGTTTATGTATAAGTGTAGTTTCGGAAATTTGTACATCTGTTAAATTCGACTGCAAACATTTCAATGTGCTTCAAAATAACAAGAAGATTGAAACTAACACGAAAATAATTTTTATTCAGAGATATATGCAAAGCAGGTGCAATTTGGCGACACCTCAAACTGTCCGTCTGTGTGGCTGCCCGTCCACGGACAAAGTCAAGACAATGTGCTTTACAAGACCAAACCTATGTTTGTCCTGGACGACAGAAGTGTTAAAGAAGGCTATCTTCCTGGAAAGTCATACTCACGTAAGTTTTGATAAAGTCTCTCACAACACAGTGTTACTGAAATAAATAGCAAGACTTAGGATATTATGAGAATAGCAAATGTTTGTACTTGGAGGTTTAGGAAGAAACTATCTTTGGAGTAGTGTTTTTAAATGTGTGCATTCTGGACTCAATGTTCGCACACGCCTTCCTAAAGTCAAAATTATGGTAGCTTAGATAGATTTGGTTGAATCGGACACTATGACTTATAATCAAAATCAAGCATTGTGTTCCGAGACAACCACAAAATAAAACTTGTCAGCCAGCCCTGTCCATTTCTACAGTTCATGTGAACGCCCAGGACAGTGATCGGAAGTTCTCGGACGTATTGGTCTGGGTAGAAGGAAGTGGGCTTCAAGGTTGTAGCACAGGCAGTTTTGATACAAACCCAACTTACTACCATCAGCCGGAAAACTGCTCTCATTTGGTCAGCCGAAACTCCAAGTTTCCAGGGCACTCTTTCCTTTTCACTTGGACAGCACCACTGTGTGGTTGCGTTACCATTAGGTGAAGTTTCAATCTAAAAAATAAAGCAATTTCTTATTAATGCCTAGAGTGTTTGATTTTACAGTTTATGTCAATAGAAATTGCATATATAGGATCATACATACATTTGATGCTTTTCATATGCATTCTTTTGATATGTACTACATTTGCCACTGAATGTTGGAACAATTAGTCCATTTCGGAAAAAAAATAGTTCATGTGATTGAAATGACCTTTTTTTTCTTTTAACTCTAGGGCGCGAGTGTCCACGGCTGATACAGGTTCGTATGTACTGGACGACAAGTCTACAAAGGATGGATACCTGACGTCACAAATCTGTCCAAAGGATGTCCATCCGATGTTGTCCACTGTAAGCATCTCTGTATTTCACATTCGAGATACATGTACAACAAGTGCCATGCACAATTAACAGTTAAATTCATACATAGAGGTCCTATACTATACGATACGAGAATTGCTTTTGGGTAATACATTACTGACCAACCCATCCCGTTTTCTTGTAGCTCTCTGTTAAGGAGAAGGAAGACCTTCTGTGTCGAGTAGTCGGTGACGTCACTGGGTCTGACGTAGCAACCAGACAGGATGTTCTGAGCAGGCGTAAAATGGAGTACAATGCAATGTCGCAACTCCAGAAAGAGGCTTGGGAAATTGCTCTCGGTCAAAGGGTCTACAACACTAAGAAATGCTGTGGTCTGGTGTGTACCGAAAATCTGAAAGTTCAAATGATTAAAAAAAAACACAGGACCAATCCTAAAATTAAATTCAATGTAGCACATGATATTTTTCTTAAAGCTTATTCGTTAATGACTGCTTCCTAATAAGCGTGGAATGCACCATGAAACTGTGAAATGCAATGCAAATTGTATGAAAAGCAATAATTGTTTCAGAGGTTTGGTTCTCTTTCTTGCAGACGGGAAGTGAGAGGAGCGAATGTCTTGGGGATGACCGCCGACATCGTGTTGACAGGTTTTGTGCATATGGAGAATCTGTCATTCCCTTCACGATAAAAAGGCGTGGTTTTATGGAAAAACGACGTGAACAATGTTGCTGGAAACTAGGTACTGCCATCATGGAATACCTTTCTGAAAGCGAAAGACCGTGGTCGATTTATTAAAAAAAACAATGTTCACGTTCTTATGATGAAAATTTTTAGACGAGTAATTGTGGTATAGCTCCATTCGATCATTTCACTATTTAATGAAATACAGGAAACTTAATTTTTCATTATTCAATACACAGGTGAACGTCGCTACCATTGTTTTGCGTACGTTCCAACCCAACAAGCTAAGAACGTCAACAGCCTGTGGAATGTGAAACGCGTCCAAGAAATGGACGAGTCTGATCCAATCAACGACTTGGAAGACTATGCACCAGAGGTCCTTAAGGAGGTATGCAGCTCAGAACAAGGATGAAATAAATTATGTAAAATATAATATCCTTAACAGAAGTGATATAAGGAAATCCACCACTGGTCGGGTTTCTCTTGTCACCCTTCAGTGGTAACTTAGAAAACAAACGGCCATGTTTCTGATGAACTAAACCATTACGTTAAATACCTCTCATTTGCAGCTATCAAAACTACCTGCATTCATGAACACATATGCTGACAGTGCAACAATACAAGTAAATCTCAATAAAGAGGAACAGCGTCAAAACGACTTTAAGTCTTCAAAAGAGACCAAACCTGTGTCCTCTAAAATAACAACCACCATGTTAACTACAACTGCAACAACTAAAGCACGTGTTGTCCAGACAACCATTGTGACGCCGACAACTGTCTCTGTGACAACTACAGCAATAGAAGAAAGCAAGAAAACAACATACACAAGTGAAGGTATAGTAAAAATATTTTTATGCATTTTATATTAATGTTAACATAACTTAAAATGGAAGTATTTACAAAGATTAATAAAGCATTGGTTTTGCCCGTTATTTTGAGGTTCTACTCTCAAATTCTGTTTTGCATTTGCATGTGTCATTATATGAATTTATGATATAACGTAATTTAACTACTAAAGCATTGGTTTTGCTGATTTTTTTTTACGTTCTCCTCTCAAACTACGTTTTGGTTTCGAATCCCACTGCGCGAGATGGAGACCGGTCCTTCGGATGATACCTATAAACCGAGGTCCCGTGTTGCGGTAGGTGCTGGCACAAAAAAGATCCCTCACTACTCAATGGCCCTTTGTAGCCCTCCAGCAAGTGGCGGCGTCTCCATATGATTTAATATCACTGGTATCTTTGGTGACTGCATATCTATCGAAAATGATGCAATTTCTCCCTAGTCAATGCATTATATATGACGGAATGAATTGCGTCATTACTCACTATTCCCATATCTTGAAAATTTGTTCAGAAATGACCAAAATTTTAAGGCGTTTTTTCAATATTTCGTATAGACCACAACCTTTGATCAAAAATGTGCAATTGTGGAATTATAGAACTGCTTATGGATCGAAGGGTGTGCTCATGTTGCCGAAGGTACTCAAATCGACTTGTTTTCTGCAAAATTCAAGAACATTACAAATTCATAAAGCCTGTTTTCCAATACTTGAACTCTCAGAGGAAACGTTGTTATTGAAAATGAAAGCACTAAGTCTCTTCTTTATATTGATGTTTGAATTAGGACATAGGGTGTTAATAAATAAATTGGATTATTATTCATAAAGTGAACCTAGCTCTTTAAAAATATACTTGTAGTATAATACATGCATTGTTACAAAGAGTTGTTTATGCTATTTTAATTCAAAGTCTCTCGCGTGACGCAGTGGTTTGAGCGTTTGCTCTATTGTCGCGGTGTAAGGAGTTGATCCTTACGTCGCGGGTTCGAATCCCACTCGGGACGTGGAGACCGGTCCTTCGGATAAGACCGTATAAACCGAGGTCCTTTGTCGCAGGTGCTGGCACGAAAAAGATCCCTCACTGCTCAATGGTCCTGAGTACCGAGTATGGGTCTAAATTTGCAGCCCTCCATCGGCAAGTGGTGGCGTCTCCATATGAGTAAAAAATTCTCGAAAGACACGTTAAACAACAAACAAACAAAAAAAAAACTAAACAAATTCAATTGAAATTGGTTTACCTTCATGTAGATTTGCAAAGGAAGATGAGAAAACTCAAGCTTCGTCTTGACTGTTGTGAGACTGGACGACAGACAGCGGAGGATGTAGATGACGACCCCTGGGGCAGATGTACCACTGGCTCCTATAAATACACCAGGAAAATGAGGGGCGGAAGGCGCATGTGCCGCACTTACTTCCTGAAATGCTGCATCGAGGAATTTGAAAGGTGAGGGACTTCTTTGAATATCTGAAAATTGTTTGTTTCTAACAAATAGCTGTAGTTCATGTGTTTTCGTTCTAATTAAATGTCACTTTTGTGTTGTATTGTATCCTGTACACGTCCATCTGTTCCTATATTTCTTTTTATTAAATTTCAGTGGATCCTTTGGAAAAATGCTTCTTGAGATGAAGAATTTAAAACGAACTCTAGATATTTTAGGCTTCAAAATGCGTCAGAATTCTAAATCAACTAAATTGATATCGAAACAAAAAGTAAAATATTTGCTTCAGAAAGCACAAACATCGGTAAAAATAATGCTGGAGCATTTAACACATAAGGCCAAAGACAGCAATTTAAACAATGTGCCAGAATCAAAGTTACTGGATTTTGACATTTCAAATAAAGTTCCTGAAATGTTAAACCAAGGGAGCATGCGTTTTCCCAATGATTTTGAATCTTTCAGCCAAATTGCTTTGCGTCTTCGTCATAAACACTAACAAAGACAATGACAGCTGTATGTGGTATGTGTATATCATCATATACATACATGTATGACTGTGATTTTGTTAAAGTTATATAACTTTATACTCACCATGATTTTGTTACCAAATCTTAGTTGAATATTTTTAGTGAGGAGAAAAATTCCGGCGACTACAAAGATGAAGAGGACGATGATGTTGATGATGACGACACTTCAATAGTGAAATCTGAAGAAAGTGGCGATTACAGCGACACCAATGAGGACGATGATGACGCTGATTTCAAAACAACTAAATCTGTGAAGCGAATAAATCGACGAAAATTAAATCGTAGAAAAAGTAAATTGAGGAGAGGACGACGAGGGCGAAAACGAGGCTCCATAAAACGCAAGAGAGGCTGAAAACAACCTCACCATCAATTCCACTGCTTTTGTGTAGTAAATTGTACATATAGTCATTTTTTTTTAAAATAGGTAGTTCTACCTCTAAAGGAATACATGTAGTTGTGCCTGATCTATATAGAGTTTGTATATCCTTCTAAAGGAATACTTATGTCTGACCAGTGTAGTGTAGTGATGTCTGACATGTGTAGTTTGTATGTGATGTGTGTTGTAGGTCTAACCTTGCAGTTGTAAACTGTAATGCTATTTCTGGTCCACTCTTTGCATCTTGTTTTGTGCCATTTATGCAGAGAGAGAAAGTGCTTTTCATGTTCATTTAAAATTTTTCTGAGATTTTTTTTTACCTGAAAGACTCTTCAGACTTTGAATTATTATAGGTGCTAGATTGTGTGGCATATGCGTTTTGTGTTCATTCTCCATGAGAATTTAAAGAGCATAATAATTGTTTTACAATATTTTTTACGTTCTTTTACACATTTTAAAATAAATGATTTTTGCCATATTTGCCTTAATTGGTCTTGTTTCTATCGAGTTTTTGGTTGAATTAAGAGCCATTCTCTGTAACGACTTGAACTTTTATATAGAAGCTGTGGCACGCATAGTCTCAGAATTTCTCCAAACTCTCTATGATAAAAGTCTTTGATACCGTAAACTCAAATCAGGCAGAAATTGGTTGCTACGTATCATGGTTACCATGGCAACATGTCCTAAAGTTTGAAAAATGGCATTTTTCAACATGTTCAGAGTCCCACAGTTAACGTTTGCAGCAAAGCAAACAAGTGGCAATGATTGTTTCTGAAAGTTGAAGGCCTGATGTCTTAAATGCATGATAAACATGTTTGGTAAATCAACTACTACATACGTTACTATGGAAACAAGGTATTCAAAAGTAATGATTTTGCTCATTTAATTTTATAAAGTCATACACTTAAGAATGAAAAAAAATATAGGTTGAAATGCAAGCAAATAATAGACAAAAGATCCTTGTAACATATACCAAGGAAGAAATATGATATTTCTTATAGGTTGGCAATGGTTGCCATGGTTTTAATACCAAGAAAGGATTTTAAATTTACTCTCTTAGTGATTAAATTTAATCCTATCTTTTTAAAAAGCATATTTCTATATAACAAATGATCAATTTTTAAAGATGTTCATGTGACCCTAATTCTCAAATTTCAAAAAATTCAAATTCAATTCTTTAAATAGAGCGTTGCTATGGAAATAAGCCGAAAAAATATGCATAAAAATCTGAAAAATATTCTGTTTCCTTGGATACGTACCCTTGTATGTAGATTCCCAAAACTTTTATGATTGGTAAATATGAAAAACTAACCTGACTTTCAATTTTGACTGCCACCCAATCTCTAACTGGATGCAAAAAGCTGGCACATAGGGTTTAATATTGATATAAAATTAACAAAATCGGACATTTTCCCTTCTTGGTTACCATAGCAACAGTGTTGTATTTTTCAACAAACGTTATCAATATATGATATTCAACTTTAGTTTTACCAGATAAGTACTATTCAAGGTGAGTCAAATAATATGTTTCTTGAATAAAAGGTAAGTAAATTCCCAAGGCAGCAAAAAAATATCACTTTAAACTAGCCTGGTACATTGTTTCCATGGTTACACTGCAAAGTAACAATTAATCCCAATTTTTCTTATGTTGTCGGTGTTGCAAGGTCCTAAGGATGTATATGTGCCAGTCATGAAATTTATGATTTTTCCTGAAGATAGTAGCATTAACCCAATCTTAGCAACACATTTTGGATAGTAACACTGTGTTACCATGGCAACCATAAAAGTTATTTTTAGAATAATATTGCCAATACCTAATTACTTAAGGTCAAATATTTTTATTGTTTTTTATTAGGTTGTTGATTGAGTTTGATCATTTAACACCTATCATTAGTGAATATTGAGCGTTTTTCTGCATTTTTCAGCATCTAGAATGTATTCCAAATGTATCCATGGTTACCACTTACTTAGAGATAAATTCTAAATAGTTTCTTTATAGCATAAGTGGCAACAAGGTGTCAGGTTTTGGGGAGAATGGTTTGTTTATTATTCTTATTCTTTATTAAGGCTTAATAAATATTCAAAGTAGCTGAAAATCTCAATTTTTCCAACTTTTCTGGCTGTTACCATGGCAACCAAGACACATAGCAACGAAATTTTATTTGATATATGTTTCTGGTGTCAAGTTGTAATAATGGGCAAAGTTTCATCAAAATCGGTGACCATGCGTGGCAAAGAAGTTTAAGTGGTTACAGAGAATCGCTATTAAAATGATTAAATAATGAAAGATATTCTTTGACATGAAAATAATAAAGAGTATTCAACAACATCTAATTAACCTCAGTTTATTTCGTCAAAGAAAAATCGTTCATGTTTTGGTGTTTCATATAGTCCAATGCATTTTGAATTTATAGTATGTACATGTAAATATCTTTTTCTTCGAAGACGTCCTCATTTTGTCCAGTTTTATGAATTATATCTGGTCCTCTCAACCAAACAAAAATTTATTACCAGGGATCCTAGGTACTATATTTAAACAGTAATAAATAATATTAGATTTGGGTAAAGGTAAACTTCCTATAAATTAGCCGTTGGAATAGTTCGCCGTTATATGCTTAGAAAACATAAGGTTTGGAAAGGGGGGTTATATTTCTATCCGTCTGTCTAACAGTCCTTCCGTTTGTCAATCAGTCTGTCCAACTTGGTTTTTTCCCCCTAAACGCTAGCATATTTTGAAATGATTTTTAGTATGTCAGTTTGTGACTCAGAGGTTTTCTAGACATTTTTTTCTTAACACTTCAAAATATTAATCTGTTATTTGGTATACAACTTTCCCTTGATGAATTCCGTCAAGTATGCATTACGTACCACTTCAATGAATTTTTTTTGGAATAACTTAATTTAGGCTTATAAAAATATAGTACATTCTATGGTCTTTTTCTGCATGGACTCTTGAAGATATCTAGCTGAGTTTGGCATGGGAGTCTGTCTTGAGAGTTATTTAAACCAAATTAAATTTGCGTTTCGTTTGGATTTCATTTTTTTTTTAAGGAATTAAAGCCCTGATTTCAAAACTGCTAAATCTGTGAAGCGAATAAATCGCAGAAAATTGAACCTCAGAAAACATGTTGTATGTGAAGTGTGTTGTACTGGGTCTTACCTTAACAGTTGTAAAATTTAATTATATTTCCTGTCCCCTCTAGGCGTCTTAACTCGTGCCATTCATGCAGAGACAGTGCTTTTCATATTCATGTACAATTTTCCATTTTTTTTTTCAAATGAAAAACTTTTCATATTTTGTTATTATAGGTGCTAGAAGGTGTGGCATTTGCGTTTTTGTTTTATTCTCCATGAGAAATTGAAGACCATAATAATTGTTTTACTATATTTTTTAAAAGTTCTTTTACACATTTTAAATACTAGTAAATTATTTTGCAGCATAGTATGCCTTCATTAGTCTTGTTTCTGTCGAGCGTTTGGTTGAATTAAAAATTATAAACAATGAAGGATATTCTTTGACGTGAAAATAATAAAGAGTATTCTTCAAAACCTAATCGTCCTCGGCCTATTTTTGTCAAACAAAAATCATTTACGTTTTGGTGTTTCACATATATAGTCCAATGAATATTTTGAAGTTACAGTACAATATATGGATCATGTTTTCTTCGAAAAAAATCCCCACTTTGTCTAGCTTTAGGGATAATCTGGTCTCATCAACAGAACAAAACTTACAAGCAGGGTTTTACTTTATTTTATTTACAAAGTAATTAATAAGATCCATTTGATAACTGTATACTTCCTATTCTGTCGCTGGAATAGTTCGCCGTTAAATGCTAAGAAAACATAAGGTATGGAAATCTATGGGACAGGCCTGAGTATCATCATGGCTATAATCCCCTACTAGGGTGAATTAAAAAAAATGACCAAACACATATTTATCAACCTGCACTAAAAATAAAGGCAATGGGAATAAATTTCTATGACTCAGCATATGTCTTTAGATAGTGTCTAAATACCTGCCAAATATCTCATTAATATCTCAATTCACAAAAAAGTTATGCCTCAAAATGATGCTAAAAATATCAGGAGCTCGAGTGCAACACCTTTTTGTGACATTTTTAAATTTCAATATTTTTTTGAAGATCTGTGAAATTAATAATAATAGTTTGTGTTGGAAATACAAACTTAATATTCAAAGTATTGAGCTTTAAATGTACACTGTAACAAGTTTTGTTTGACCAAGTTGTGGTCATGGCTGATGTTGAAAAAAATGTTATACCATGTCAGGAGTGCAACAGAAAAATGTAGTGTTAAAAAAAAAACAACAAACAAACAAACAAACAAATCAATTTTAAAAATTTGAAAGACAATTAGGTCAAAAAAGAATTTTCAAAGTGTAAAACAATAACTGATAAACAATTCAAAACTTAAAAATGTTATATAAATCACAATCAGCATTAATGAGAGTCAAGTATCTGTGCATACCCAATAATTTCAGGAGTACAACATTTGATGTTTTGCTCCCCAGCATGAAAAAACTTTTATAAGTATATGATTCTCAGGTCTTTATTTTGGAAAATAAAGACACAAAGAACATTTTTATCGAATAGATTTATCAATTACAGGGTCTGTCTATGCTTCAGATCTATATTTCTAAGGTCAGGAGTGCGACGAATATTTCTAAAGATTCAAGTTATATGATGAAAAGACTTCTAATTCATGCTAAGAGATATTCTTTAATTAATAGTGATCTATTTGAATAATTTAGTACTAAATTATTGACAGTTTTATTATTAAAATTCTTCTCTTTTATATTTTATCAATTCAGATGTGTTTTTATCTTTTCTTTGATTTTTTTTATGAATGTAAAAAATAAACACACTGAAATTTTTTTTATAAAATTCAAGTAATTCCACCTCAACTTCACTAAAACAACAGAACAACTTATGATGTAATTTTTCGCTTCACAATCTACTTTAAAGACTCCCATGCTCTTGATCAGGAGAGCAACAAATGTGTTAGAATTATTGCTGATCAAATATGAATAAATATAAAGAGAAAGGTGATGAGTAGAATGTTTCTGGTTGACCTCAGTTGCTTACAGTGTTTATCCTGTGAAGGAAAATATAAAATATATTTTATCTTCTAAATATATATTTTAGCTAGTATTTTGACATAAATAGGGAATAATTCAAGATATAAAGCCAAATTTAAATACGTTCATGTGTTTTACTTGTGAAGTATTGGACTATAAATATTGCATAATTTTGTTATCACTTGATGTTGCCAACACTTCATGAATTTTTGTGTTCTATGGTTTTAATTTCACTGCAGTCAGGACTGCAACAAAACTGTTTTATAATTATCAATGATCTCCATCTATCTTTACTAAAAAAAAATAAATTGAAAAAAAAAAAATGTTGAATACTATTTGATGTTCAAAATATTATGTCTATCAACTAATTACAGACATTTTACAGTCAATTCAGAGAATAGTTTTCATCACTTAAAACATATCTTTAAATCAGTACAATGTTTATATATTGCAAACAATCATGTTTTGAAGTCTTGAAAATATGAAAAAATTGCCGTAAATGATAAAAAATATCAAAACGGCGAAGTGATTTACAAACTATGAATGGGTTATTGTGTTATAATTTTAAAAACAATGTTAAATAAAATACATATCAGATGTCAGGAGTGCAACACAATAATGTAAAATAGGGTCACTTCAAAATCTTGTATTTTTTGTAAGAAAACTTGTATATTAAATTCTTTTATGGCTTAGTTTTAAAGATTTACTTAAAAGGACAAAAAAGTGATGGGGGATTTATTATTTTTAATTTTTTTTTATATATATTTCTTTCATATTAAAACTTTTCAAACCAGAATTGAAAAAATAATGTAAAATAACAATCAAGAAACCACTTTTTTTCCACATGTACAAAATTAAAGAAGAAACTCAATCAAGGTTTAAATCTAATCATTTATATCCCTGATACCATTTTGAAGCATTAAAACTATAATTTCTTTGATTATGTATTTTAGAAAGTCTTTTAGGATGAAGTAATATTTACTTTTTTCAAATAAAGTTTTACTAATAAAAATTCTGAAACTTTTTTTTATCCAATTGTCTATTTTATTGCAACTTCAGGAATTTTAACTAAAATACATGTACAATATGATGATATAAGTGAAAAATATGTTATGGGTAGTTGAACTTAATCAGAAACTTTCAATTTGGTCTTTGAATTCACCCTTTAGCGAAACCGGGAAGAAGTTTTTAATCTTCTATTTGTCCTTAAATTAATTCTGCCTGTCCCAATTATGTTGTATTGAGCTGTTTTTTTTTTTTAATTTATTTTTTATTTATTTTAGTTATTTCATTTGGGAGGGGCGGTTTACGTTATTTATAGAGGTTTTCATGACATTTTTTTTTCTAGAAGCCTGAAAATATTAAGCAGATTTTTTCTATGCAAGTTACAGATTAAGTATGCAATTTTGATACACTTCGATGATTTTTGAAGGAAATACGGCATTTGGACTTACAAAAATGTAGTATACGTATAAGTTTGCCAGACTTTTCTTTCTAGACGCTTGCAGATATATTCAATTGATTTTTGGTATGGTAGTCTGTCTTGACGAGTTATAGATCAAATTAGCATTTCGTCTGCTTATTTTTAAAAAGAAATTTCAACGATGATTTCAAAGCAACTAAATCTGTGAAGCGAATAAGTCGATGAAATTTGAATGGCAGAAAATGTGTGTTGCAAGATGTAACCTTGCAGTCACAAACTTTGTTTCTATATCTGGTCCCGTCTTTGTGTCTTACTTGCAAGTATCTTGTTTAGTGCCATTCAGCAGAAAAAGTGCTTTTCATTCACAATTTTATAGATTTTGTTTTACCTGAAAGACTCTTAAAATTTTGCATTACTTACTACCGGTATAGGTGCCAGAGTGTGTTCATTCTCTTTGAGAATATGATGAGTATCATAACTGTTTTATGAACAATATTTTTACTTATTTTCAAATAAATTGTTTTGCAATGTGATAAATGTTAGTCTTGTTTCTATCAAGTTTTTGGTAGAATTAAAAAGTTTAAGCAATGAAAAAATTAATCTAAAAGGTGCGAATGGAGTAAAGTATTTAGCAAAATGTAATACTCCTTAATTCATTTTAAAAAATCAAATAAAAATTCATAAGTTTCATATACTGGTAGTCCAATGAATTTTGGCGTTCAAGTATATTATACGCAATAAATTCCATATAATCCGTTTACTTCGAAATAAGTACCCATTTTGTGCGGCTTTAAAAAATGTTTCCAGTCTCGGAGAGGGGATCCGTTACCAGGGTTACTGCATTTTATTTACAATGAAATAGGGAGATGACGAACAATTATCAAGCTCAAAAGTCCATTGAAACAATACAAATCGGGAGCACAACAAACATGAACCTCTAAAAACATCAGAGTTTGGGATCAGGTGCCATGGAGGAGTACGCATCCCCTGTCGACAGTTCACATCCGCCGTATTCTCGTTGTCATGATCGGGCCAACGGAAAAATCCATAGACAATTCAGTGTGTAAATAATGGCCTAACAATTAGTATAAAAAACGTCAGTCAGCATTCGACTTAAAGATAGATTGTATTTACTGACAAGGTCATTGTATCGACCATAATACTTGCGAAATGATGACTTAAAACAAGACTGTTGATGTCCCTGATTCATCAACCTGTTTGTCAATAGCTTGCCTCGTTTTAGAAATAGTTCATACGTAGATCGAATCATTTGGGAGTCATAAAGCCCATATGCAGGTGATAAGGGTATATTCACTATATTGCTACATAAGTTAGGGAAGTTGACAATTGAAAGTTACGTCATCACGTTTATCAGATAAGACACTGGAATGGGTCACCAATTTATGCCTTCAATAACATGATATAAATGGAAAAAAACCGTAATATCATGCTATTAATCTCTGTAACAGAGTTTGAAGTGGCTACTTGTTGTATATAGTCATTAGTGTCGCCAGGCTTTTACTACCACAAGCTAGTGGGTTCATCTTTTAGCTATTGGTAGAGATCTGAGAGTTGTAGGTTCAAGCCACGTTGTGGACACACCCTATATTATCAGTCATATAAGCTAACATTGACATGGTCTGTCAGTCTCACTTGGTTCTCCAGATTTTTTTTCAATACGTTTGCAGATATTGACCTGATTTTTGGTATGCATTTCTACCTTAATGAGTTATCAAATTTGCATGTCCTTCTGTTTTGATGAGGTTTTATAGAAAAACAGCCTTTACACTTAAAAATTTAGTTGAAATACAGAGATATAATATTACAGAAACTGGTCAATTTCTGTACACACCTCATCAATAAAAGATAACTAATCTTTCTGATACATTAAAGTTTTAGAATATACCAAGAATATTCCCTGAAAACTTTGTAAAAATATCAAGCATGCAGTAATTTGAATATTGATAGATTTATTATGACTTCTTGTCATCAAATATAATTATCTGAAAAAGTCAAATGAAGAACAAACAAGAATAAAGTGTCTGTGGAGCCTGAGTAAAAGGATACTGGGACTCATCAGATCACAGGGTTCAATTAGCAATCTGCTAAAACAATGAAATGACTTGTATAAAAAGAATCTCAAAGATGAAATTAAAAGTGATCATAACAAACAAGGCTGGAATAAATACATGTAACAGAAAAGGAGAAATCCTGTCTCTAAACTTTGGTCTAATTGAACACTTCCCTATTTCTTAAAATAGCCCCTTTGACTAGTGCACACTGGGAAAAATAAAATCTATCATCTATAATTTCATAGTTTTAGAGGACCAGTTTGGAAAATATAATTTGACTGGAACTGGCCCATTTTACAGATACTCTATGAATATGTTATCTGATAAATTAATTTCATATTCAGTGATCATTATAAGTATCTCAATTTTTAATTCATTTTGTGACTAATCCATTTAGTTTGAATTGTTTGACCTTAGAGGTATAAGTTAATGAAGACAAATATATTAGGCACTAAGTACAAAGCCATATATAATCATTACCATATACATGTATTACTAATTATCTCCCAGATTTGTTCAGCAATGAAGTACAGTGTACTCTAATTTCATTTAAAACATACTCATGCATTACAAATCCATGTACACCTCAAACTTGAAAAAAAAAAAAACAGGAATAAGGAAAAAAAAATGTAAACTAAAAATACATGTGGCATAATTCAAACACATGTGACCAACTACATTACAAAAAACTCTTTTTTTATAGTATGACAACTTTGCATGAATTGTACATTATGTGAAGATCAAGTAATGAATTGGCACACTTTGTAGTGATCAGAATATTGATAGATGTTTGATACTGAAACAAACAATGAGCATGAGAAGGTAAGTAGATTCATTGTCAACAACTGATGTTCATGACATTATTTACAGTAATTGATACAAAACACATTTTATTCTACTTTAAAGGTAAATTCAAAACATAATCTGTTTTTAAAAAACCTTTTTTTTTTGTTTACAACTATATAAATATACAATCCATACAGTATTTGATTTTTACAGGACAAAGTAATTTTAATTAGTGTTAATTACTAATTGTAGAATGGTACAAAAAAGTTTTAGTGTTGTCAAACATGCATTATCACCAGTACTAAATCAGGCCACATTTAAAACTCCAAGATCATGTGATTGATTGAAGGAAAGCAAAGGTGGAATATTTACAGATATCAAATGGAAAACATATCAAACCAAACACTGCCTCATTTTATACACACAGAATTAACTTTAAGTAGAAGTCTTTTATACAGGAATTAATAAGGTCTTAAGCTTGCAAAGAATTTTCAGCAATAAGTTATGAAACAGGATGTCAAGCAACTGAAAAATTTTATTGTTAACTAAAGTTAGAGTTGAAATAATTGAATAATTTATTCTAAAACTAAGTACTAATAAATACATTGCTTCTAGAATCTACTGCACCATGGATGCCCTATACAAAAGTCTCCTGCTAGGGTGTAATTCATTGCATATTCTATCTACAATCTGAGCAGATTTGACACACAAGGATCTAGAGCAGTGTTACACACTGACGTCCTCGGTGTTGAGATCAGGGCTTGGGAATGAGCTGCTTCTAGGTGACTTGATATCAATATGGAAAGTAAGAGAAAAATAAAGATGGATTCTCCCTGCCAAACTTCAATTCTGATTTCAGAAAAAGGGAATAGAGAAATTATATAAATAGCTACACTATTCAGACCTCATTATTTTTCTTGGTGATTATCCTCACACAAGCTGGAGAAATTCACTTCAAAATGAATTCTTTCAGCACACATTTGATGTTCAGCTCATACAAAGGGACACATTCCTGAACTATATGATCGCAGATCAGTTTGTCAATACTTAAGAACCAGCACTGTACATGGTTAATGTACATGTTTTATGGATTTCTGTAATCCCTGGGCTTCAACTCTTCTTGCTGAAGTAAAATACTGCTGCTATGGCAACCATACAGGATCCTACGACGATAGAGAGGGTGGTAAAACTTGGGGAGGGGGAGTACTGGAGAGCCGCACTCTGTAAAGAAAACACATCAAATGAAGCTACGTAAACTTCTCATTTTCTAACATCCTCAAATTGATTAGTTGATCGATCCTGTGGCCAATGTGTACTTTTTTGTTAGGCCAAATAAAAAAATATATGTGGTTCCGGTTACCCGACCATCCCTATTTTATACCCCCTACCCTAAACTTTTTTTTGGGCAATTTTCATATTTTTTCCGGAATTTTCCCCGATTTCCATCAATAGCTCCGGTTTAAGTTTTAGTTTCAGCAATGACGGCCTCCTTGCAAAACATAGTGCAAGTGTTTAATAGTGTTAAATCCAAAGCAAGCTAGCATGTAGGTGTCCCCTACCAATATTGACTAGTATATTATCACACCACATCTAAATGCCACTTGCAAAGCAGTGATAGGTATTATTTAGAAAAATTAAGAAAATTATTTTGTTTAAAAAAAAAAAAAAAAATCCCTACCTACCTACCCTAATTTTTTTGGAGGTGTAACCGGAACCACACATATTTTTTTGTTTGGCCTTATTTTTTTGTGATTTTATGTTTAATAATGAACACAATTCAAAAGTTCAAATATACATGATACAATTTGAAAGTATCCCGGGAAAAGATATTTCTAAACCATTTCTTGTAAATTTGCAAATTTATGACTCTGTTTTATTTACAGATTTTTTAATTCTTTTGTCTAAGAATTAGAGTAATGAACATGTAAAATGATTTTTATATGTTATTATTGCACCTAAGAAAATACATGTCCACGATTAATATTGAATATGTTGGTCTTGAATTGAAAAAGGATGTCTATAAATAGATATGGTACTAATAAAAGCTCACTTGAGTCTTGAGCTCAGGTGAGCTAAAAACTCAATTTTCAAAACCTCTTTTGAAAATTGATCAAATCAATTATACATGTACATGAAGACTTTTTTTATTATCAAAGTTACCCGCAGATTAACAGAAACATTAAAGAATACATTGTAATTGGATTAACATATAAATTATATCTTTTATACAAGGAAGACATACCCATCCACCCTGTTGAGCAATCCATCCAGCAATTTTCTCCTTGATAAATCTAACCACATGACTGACAATAATCTTCAGGAATTGTGCGAACTTTTTGGCTCGTTCTTTGACAACTGTCATGGTGATACGGTAAGCTAGGCACATGAGAGCTGCAACACGTCCCCAGTTGATTTCATCGGCAAACAACCTGCAGTGTTACAAATCAATTATCATATCTTCACAGTATGTGGATACAACCTGCAGTGTTACAAATCAATTATCATATCTTCACAGTATGTGGATATATATGACTATCTACTTTGTGAGAAATGTTTAAAAGAAAATGGGTAATTGCAGAGGTAATTCATGCTACACTTTGCAATAGTTGCTCAACTTGTTAGTGATAATAAATCCTGCATTAACCATTTGCATCCTCTCCATGAAGAAGAAACGAGCATGTACAGGGTTCTCCACATTTGAAAATTTAACCATGGAGGAAGCTGCGCAAAGGCACAATGCGACCAAAAACACGAATGCATGTTAGACTTCCTAACCTTCATTAATCAATGATTGATTAATTCACAAAACTTAACCACTGCAGCACAAAAAGTTGAAATAACCAATGATTTTTTAAGCTTAAAAATTAAAAATAAAAAGGATTATGTATCTTAAATGTAATTACTCTACAAATGTACCAAAATTGGTCCAAAACTGTAGGAACATTTTGAAGGAATTTAAAAATAATATTTTAATAGAGTAACCATGGCAACAGTTTTCAAAAACTGATATACAGAACTGATGTTGCCTTTATATAAAACGTTTTATTTAAATATGACTAAAACTGATGAATTGGTAGTACCTTAAAAAAAAAAAAGTTAACAGACACACAAACAAACGAAAGCCGAAATCCTACTAATCATGCTAATGCCTAAGCTTTTTTTAACTGCATGATCTATGAAAACTTACTGGTGGCATACATGGTAAAAGTAACTTATTATAACCAGGGGCATTAATTTGCATTACTGTAATTTTGCTTTCTCTTCTGTCTTTTTCTAAACGTTATTTTTTTTCTACATATTGCATTTTCGCTGAGTTTCTCCATTGTTTATTCCTCCACGTGTCCGTGCTAAAAATAGCGCCACGCGAAGTTTCATAAAAACGGGAGGTAACTTTAAAACTAAGACGACGATTGGCACTTACGTACGGTACATTTTATCAGAAAGAAAATGAAGTTATATACTTAAGAACAAAGAATGAGGAATCGATTAAATAAAAAGAACAGGGAATTTTGAAAGGGCTCATTTTTTTCTGGGCATACCTACTGCTCGTTATGATCTGTTACCATATAGTGAACACGATGGAATTTCCCGAAATTACATGTTTGTATAGTTACAGGATAGTGGGCTGACTAATTAATTCTCAAGATATTGATCTTTAGCTGATTGACCCTCCATTGTCACGCTTCACAGCATAGTCGCCGATCAGCGACTGTGTTTGTTTAGCACAGTCCGCTTTCCTTCGAGGCATGCGAGATGCATATCAGTCGTAGTATAAACACAATTAACTACTCAAGTCATTAAAAAGTAGGTGTAAATACTAAAATGCAATAAAAAATTAACCAGGGCGGCCGTCGATTTTAACCATGGCGCAGCTCGTTTAACCATGGCGCACATAAATTTAACCATGGCGGGCCGCCATGGTAAAACCCCTTGTGGAGAACCCTGCATGTATACTTAGTTTTCCCAAGTAGGGTTTGCAGAGGGTTAAACTCTTGAGTCCCCTTTGATTCTTAAATGCAATGGATGGTTAAGAAAGCCTCTCAATGTGAGTGACTGATCTTAAGGAATACAGTGTTTTACAACCATTTCATGACAATGACAGAACCACCTATTTTTACTTCTCCTCAACAGAGAGCGCTTATGATATATCTCCTAAATTGAAGTCCAGGGGTTCCAGTTTTGGAGCATGTCCAGTTAATACAGTCCTACTAGACCAAACTTGCATGGATGCCACTTACCTCCATACTGTAAACCAACTTTTATTCGCGTGGGAGAAATATTCCTGAGTTTCGCGACCTACTTTAATTCGCGAATATTAATCGCATCAAACCAATTATTTTGCCTTGTATTAGTACAAAATGTTTCCTCAGTTGCGAAAATTAATTGTCGCAGATTGATTTCAAACTGACGAATCGCGAATAAAAGATGACGCGAATAATAGTTGGTTTACAGTATTTAAGATTTACCATTTTGACCTTATTTTCACTTAATTTTAACAAAATGATATGATTGAGACATAATCTTATAAAAATGAATACTAACTTTTTGGCCACTCCAGCAAACACATCATAGGCTGTTTCCTCAGTCACATTAAGCTGAGAGATCATGTCTTTGAAATCATCTGCATATCTCCTGTTGATATCGTCACCTATTCTGGCCAACTGTCTACCAACTTGGGAGGCTCGACTACAAAGTAGAAGGCATTTATAAAATAATGTCTAGATTCATAAACTGCTATTTTGATAAATACAAAAGTAATTTATGATAAAATCATATCTTAACATATTAAGATTTTAATGATTTATTAATATTTCTTTTATTCTCATTAAAAACTTTGAAAAATTCACAAAAAAGATCAATCTTTATAGGGACCTCTATCAGTGGAAAACTAATACAGTAACTAGTTATCTCCCCTGTAACAAACCTGACTGGATCCGATGTGAAATTACACAGCTCCGGGACTGTCGGTGTGGACGCGTCAGGTGTATCTTCCTCTAACTGATGCCGGTAACTCTCATAAATAAAATTCCTGATCACATCCTCGGCCTCATCGATCACATTTTCCTCAGTGTCTGGGGTCACCTGTTCTGAGTTGGGGGACGGAATCTGCCTGACATCAGAGGTGGGAGGAACCCGTCTCCCATCATGGGTCCCAGAACCACCGTCCCAGTACGCCATTTCTGGGGGGTCTCTCCTTCACACCATTCAACCTCAGTCGTCAGTATGCTGGAAGCATTTAAAGATTTATAATGAGCCGTGGACCAATATAAAAATGGTATCAGAGATACTGGGATTATGTGACATTCAGCTAAATTCTTTAGACATTATGTTCAATTCTATTATGCAAAGAAAGTTTACTTTCTTGTACATACATGTACTAAGTACCCATGACATGGTATAGCCAATATGCATTATGAGGTCATATTATGACGTCATTGTCCTTTACTATTCAAAGAAATAATCACATCACAAACAGCTTTGGCGCAAGGGCACAGAGTACTTAACATGTCAAACACAAGATTTAATAATATTAAGCAGAATATTCCACAGATTTATGTCTGTAGAACAATGACATCATAATTATGATGTCATAATGTGTATTGACTATGACATTGTTGGTATTAAGCATGCAATAAAAAGTGAGTGTAAACCTTTTCTTTATAAATGACAAACATCTTATGCATTTCAATTGACTCATTTGCATATATATGCCTATACTTAGCCTTAATTCACTTGTGTTGACATACGAACAATACAGAGGATACTTTATATTAATACACGTGCTCATTGAGACGGCGTTAACTTCATAAGGAGACAGTGTTAAGTGGATGGCATATACTTAATGCACATGACACAGTGTGACCGATCAGACATAAAACAATGAGGCAATACAACACCAGATTACTTTAATAATGGGATTAGCTCAGAAAAAAATGTATTGATAATGGTAAGTTAACTTTTAGAAATGTAATGAAGGATAACTCCACTGATTTCAATAAAATTAAGAAAGGTACACCCTAAGCAGGAAGGTTTAGGAAGCTGGATATTTAGGACATTATCTAAATTCACTGAAAAATTTAGCTGTTTAGAGAACAATCTGTATGATGTAAAAGTAATTTGAATTACATTGGTTTGTTTATCAACACAGAGCTTATAGTTACTTGGAAATGAGACCTGGTCCAAAAACTTTAACCTGCACCAAAAACTTTAAAAATCACATAGGGTATATAAGCTCCCCCCCAACTTCATTGAGGTGGGCTAAAAAATAAGTGTTGTGCTGTGCAAATATGACAGAATTTATCCTACAGGGATAGACATTAACTTTCAGATTCATTTGCCCTCCGTGCAAGTGATCTCAAACTTTGACTTGTCCGAATGCAAAACTTGGTTGCCAAAAATTAGGGAAGAACTTAAGAAATTTTTAATTACTGTAAAAACATACATCTTATAATCTTGATCAGGATGCATCGTGTTACACTGTACTTATATTCTGTGCATGAATAAATACTAAGTAATCTAATTTCCAAATAAGAAGTTAACAAAATTTTGTTAGATGTAGAGCGTATTTACTTCGAAAGAAAATAACAAACCCCATTTTTAAATGAACGGTATATAATCCAGAAACACTACCAAGGAATTTCGAATGCAAAAACATTGTCAGTCAGGTGCGTGGCGGAAATCAAGTGTTCATTTTATTGTTTTATTTATAAATTAATGTAAACTAAATAAAAATGTAAATTTGTAAGAGAAAAATTCACCTGCCTGATCGGACAAGTATGTCGACAATTTCACTCGCCCGAACTGAGGATTAACTTGTCCCGGGCAATTGGACAACCGTTAATGTTGATCCCTGTCCTATGATAAAGTCCTCACTTTTACTAGCTTGAATCACTGATTACTAGCCCTCTTAAAAGTGTGAAAAATAAAATGACTGTTTTGTTTCATTCCCTTTGATTTAATCAATGAGCCTCATTATTTAATTCATAAAATTTCCTTTAACCCTCTGTTCTGTCTTTTTATTGTCAGTTATTTAATCCTGAAATAAATTGTTTTATACATGGATGCACTGTAAGCATTTCATCACAATATGTTTATAAATAACCGAGTCATATCTCACTGCCCACTGATCTTTCCATTTGTTAGAAACTTTCATGTGCATTCTACATGTAATTCAAAGCTTTTCTTGATGTCAGTGACAGTCTTCCTCTCTACTAATGAAGAAAATCTTTTTTAGAGTTTTTTTGGACAATTATTTAAAATATGAGATGGAAATGGATTAATACTGCTCAAAATTCTACAAGTCTGATTGGACTAGTGCTGACCTGGATTCTACAAGCCTGAGTGACTGAATTTTTTTTACTAGTGTAAGGGCATCGGCCAAGTGCTATTGGTGTACGCTGAGAAACATGTAAAGCCTGCATTTAACATGATAGAACATTTCATAGTTTTTTTTTTTAAATATACATACTATGTTTGGTTAATTCAACCTCATTAAGAAGAAAAACTCAACATTTCTGTTTTATGTTTACAAACTTTAAAAAAGAATGATCAAATTTCTTAATTAAGACACGTTTTTCATCTAAACAAGTGAATGATTACATCAGCAATATAACATCTAAAAATAGATTCAAAGCAAAACATATTACTAAACGTGAAAGATCAATAACAAATCACATGTAAATGATAACGTTTACATAAATGCATAATATAATTAGATGTGAAATCCCTGGACAAAGTAACTCTTCAAACAATTGATGCAACGTAGGTCATTCACCCACCCCGTTGACCATACGCGTAATATTTCAGGAACACGGGGCATGTGGCCTTTATAGACTAACCGACTTAACAAACTTCTCAGAGAGCCATGTAACTGTACTTTTCTTACAGTGCATATTTCTATTACAGTGTCTCTGTATTAATTAATGAAATATTTAATTGAACATACTTGATTCTTGAATTTGAAACCGCGGAAATATCGTTGAAGGTTATCCAATCCAATCTTCAATTCTGAAAATATCTCTTTCCCAATATTTTCGTAAAATCACAAAACAGCAGAATATTTACATCATCGTTTCAACGCCAATTAGGCAAGGCTTACTCTGATTAATATCTTCTAAAAAGTCTTTGTTTATGTGTTGTGTCATTCTTTTTCCTGTGCCAAAATATTCCAGTGGAACTCTTCTGTTTATTAACTCGTACGAACTTTATTCGTGTTATGGAAACACACACAAATTCAACCGATATTGATCATTCAATTTTTTTTCCCAAAAAATGAATCATAAGATATATATATATATATATATATATATATATATATATATATATATATATATATATATATATATGTTATAATATAGTTTTTATGTAACGAATTATCCAGGATGTTTGTTCTACATCTAGCCCTCTTTAAAAATATAATCAGATGTCAAACTAAAGGAAAAAAGGCAGGTACTTTGCATAGAATCACCACCCAAATAAAACTGATGAAATTTAAAGAAAATTATGCTAATTAAAGCTGCAAAATAAATGCACATGGTACCTGAAAAAAATTGCAGCACAAAATTATAAGTACTGGTAAACGGACATGATCTCTGAATTGAAATTCTGAAAACATTTGTTCATTTTACGTGTTTTACTGGCTTTTCTAAATTGTCCTTCTTTGAGAATTCTGGTTAGCAAACTTACCAAAACCATTTAAGGACTCTTGCTCATAGATTGTTAACAAAATTCTTGAATCTGCTGTGGAATATGAGAAATCATGACAATGTTTGAAATGACTACATCAATAGATGCAGGACACTATGTGCTGTAATTCCGCATTTCTACTTTATATTCCCCATCCCAGTAAAAAAAAAAAAAAGATACAAGATATTATATTAGTAATTTATTAAATCAACAAAGACTTTTATTTACAACTCAAATATAATGCATGGAGATTTTGTTTTCGGTGGTTATACATAATAACAAAAGTTATAAAACTTTGATTTTTTTCACTTCTGCCTCCTAAAGAAATTATTGCTCCTCACAAAACTCATAAAGTCTATCACAGACACCTGATACAAATATATATTAATGATAATAAATGTATATCCTCACATTTGACTTTAATGAGATTTTTAGCATTTAAAAATGCCCCATATTAAATATTGTCATTTAGGAGAGAATGTCAAAACAAACAAATACATGTATTAATGATAAACATGAGGATTGTAAAAATGTTTGATTAACTGAGATCTTACAAATATTCTGAGCAATGTACATAAAGATTAACAACCTGCGTTTCCACATATATATTATTTATATTAATACGCCAATACAGGTAAACCTGAAAATGGAATGTGCCTTTCACCATTTTTTGAAGATAATCTACAAAATCTACAGACTGTAAATTCAACCATTCTTCACTTAAAAACGAAATGTTTTAGAAAGAACAGGATGTGGCGGTTAAAATAGCTGTGATGCTCTGTTTGATTAACATTGTATAAGAATTTGACTATCTACTTAATAAAATTTTTTTAAAAAACTGTTCTTTTGAAAAAAGAGATTGAAGAGTGAGCTAAAATGACAATAATGCTTATGGAATAAAATTTCTTTACTTACAGGGTACAGAAAAGATCATGGCACATTTACCCTGAAAATTGAAATAACATAAAAACACGAGGCACTTTTTAATGTAAGAAACTGCACACTGCATCAAAGTGAAAAAAAAAATCAGCAATTCATCAAAAGCACTTTTGGATGCATAACATGGAAGGCAAACTAAACTCGGTATCAAAAACAATGCCTTTAAACATCATTACAGACATCAATATGTCTCATTCTCCAACAAATTAAGAAAATTGATTCATAACACACTGCTTAAACTACTAATGCAATAAAACTGATCAGACATAGCAGGCATACAAAAACAGACTAAAATCTTCAAGGCCTATAACAACCAAACTTAAGATCCTCCACAATAACATGTGAAAATCTTCACAATACACTTGGATCCACCTTCTCCATTGTGAGGATAGAGAGATCATTCCAGGGAAATTTGGCAGCTGTTGTACAGTGCATACATATATTGGAGCAGTGGTCAGTTGTTCAATCAATGTCCAGATCTGTGTCACTGTCCAAACAAGTGTCCTGAAATAGAGTCAAAACAAAAAATGAAAAGAGAAATACAAAAGGAAAACCAAAGAAGGAAGATTTTGGTGGAATTCACTCATTCTTAATTATAATAGATATATAACATTTATCTGTACTGAATTCAATTCAGGTAGAGTTATAAAAAAAATCTGACCTCACAGGGGCTTGTCACGATCTATTTGTATACCTGCTAACCACCAAAAATGACCCAACATTCAGATGTTAAACATGGGTTCATAACGAGTGACAATATTTTTTAAGCTAAATTGGAGGGGGGGGGGGGTTCATTGGTGAGGGGTGACGTTGGTTTTTGGGGTGTGTGACCCATAAATTGGGGGTCAGGTTGCTATTGGTCTTCCTAATTTGACCATCTCTATATTATACTAAACACAGGGATGGCCAAAAATTAGGAAGACTTTATGTAGGTCTGTGACTAGCCCCTGTGAAAAATGCCTGCAAAAATGACCATTTTCCTGCTTAGCCTTACCCATCCACCTTGATCCACGATCCAGGAAGCGAACTTATCCGCCACAAACTCTGCTGCCAAATCCTTCACCTGAAGAGCCACTGCTCCCCCAGCCCCCGCCAGGGTAATGGCTTTCTTTGTGAGGTGAAATACAGCCGCTATCTGATCCCAGCTGTTGCCAGGTCCCACCGTATTGTTAACTGTGTCCTGGAAAGTTTGGTATGTGGCGTGCTTGGCTATTTCCAAAGCTGCATCCTTTACAGAGTCAGGGGACACATTCATCTACAAAATTAACAAACTGATCAAGTGGTACGCAAAGACACATTTTACATTCAAAATTAACAAACTGATCAAGTGGTATGTAATAGGGCTGGGTATTGGCTAGAGATTTCATATTGCGATAAATTGCGATATTTTTAACTGTATTGCGATATGTATTGCAATATTTTCTACAAAAATTTAAATGAAATTTTCTTATTAAATTAACTTCCTTTTACATGTAGAATGTACATAACTATGATAAATGACTAATAAAAGTTATCTTGTTGATTGAATTACACTTATACAACTAAACACACCCATACAACAGCTTTTGTCGATCTGTTTGGCGTGATCGCAAACTTTTCTTTATATTTTATGATAGAATTCCTGAGTCCAAGCATTTTGCTGGTATATCGGTATTTCAGAAACGTATTCCAATACAATATTTATTGTCAACATACTGCAATATACCAAAATATCGGTATTATTGCCCAGCCCTAATACTTAAATACACATGTACCTATAAAATTAACAAACTGATCATGTGGTAAGTAAATACACATTTTACCTATAAAATTAACAAACTGATCAAGTGGTACGCAAACACACATTTTACCTATAAAATTAACAAACTGATCAAGTGCTATATAAATACACCTTTTTTGACTTCTGACATATGGTGCTTACATACACAAAATATTGTAATAACTCACTGTAAAACTATCCCCAATTTCTCGAAGCCTGTCCCTTAGCTGTCTCTCCAGCTCTGTCAATCCCTCACCTACAAAGTCAATGTACGTAAAAAGATGACTTATTTCTTATGCTTCATCTGTACATAATATGACATAATTCATGTTATTACTTTGTAAATATAACTTCCAATCTATCAAATATAAGGAACACTGCATGACCAAAAAATCACAGCAATGTAAGCATTCTTCCAATTCTATCTTGGATAAAGAATGTTTCTTCAATAGACATGCTATATACAGTATATAATGTTTCCTTAACCATGCACAGCAGCTGACAAACTACTGAATAAAAAAAAATGTACCCACCATCTCTCTCATCGACTCCTGATAAGTTTGGTGTCCTGGCACTGACTCGTCTGCCGAGAGTGTGTTCTACGGAACTACTGCCGCTCTCTGACATTGGACTGGTGGCCATGTACTGGTCTCCGATATGAGCTAACTTTTCAGCCACTGCTGAATACAGACGGTCCTTCTCTGGGTCTGAGGGCTTTGATGATGCATGTCTTGGACACGTTCCTAAAATAGAAATTGGACTTGAGACAGAGAGAAGAGATACACTGAGACTGTAATATCTGTTAGTTGCAGGTGCTAACAGTGGGAGAACATTTATGCATTTTATACAAATACATGTAAATTCCTACAATGTTTTTGCTGGAAACAAACCTTGCTCTTCATTTCCATCTACTTCAATATCATGACCTTCATCAAAGTTCTTGACCTTCATACGTTGTTTGACTGTTGTGTCTACGGTCCCATCTGGATGTACCAATATCTGCTGCCTCTCACAAGTCTCAAAATCCAGCACAAAGGACTTGTTCCTACTGGTGCGATCTCTCACCTCACCCTGAATCGGCCCCTCTGGTATCAACTCATCTGTTTGTCCATACGTCTGTTCTCCGGTGATGACAGTGGTGGTGGTTGTGTGTTGGGAGAGATCCCCAGCTTCCTGTACTCTCTCTTGATAACCCTGACCCGTGGACACTGACCGGCTGTAGTCAACTTTTGGAGATTTACGATGTCTATGGTGAAAGTCAATCTCATCTGACTTGGATGCTGCAATCAAACAGATAAGAATTTTTTTTTTAGTTTACTCATCAATATATTATAAATATGATATAAATTGTACTCTCAATTTCCCAAATTTTCAGCATCAGTAAATATGTCTTCGCCATTTTATAGAACCCAAACTAATTGTATTAGACTGCTGTTTGATCTATAGGAATTACTCATTCATTCTAAATATTTACCAACCTTGAATATTAGAGGAATATTTGTCTTTCTTAGATTTCCTGAAGGATGTGATTTTTTTCAGTTTTCTGAGGATTCCACTGTCGCTGTCTGATAGTTCTGTACTTTCCTTTACGCTGGCATGCTTTTCTTTATGCTTGTGTTCGGACTCCCCAGTCACATCAGTTGTTTCCCAAACATCCTTTTCCACCAGCATTCCTGACTTCTTCCCATTGGTATAATGGTGTTGTTCAATATGTCCATGTTTGTGAGTGTGAACATTCTGTATTACTCGGCAATTTTTATCAACACTGGAGCCCTCATCCTTTTTCTTTCTTGGCTTTCGTCGTTTTTTAATGGATGCATCTGACTGAGATCTCTGTCTAGTAACCTCCTCATCTCTTTTGCTCTTCCCCGACTTAAACTTCTATTCATACGTTCCTTCAATCTAGTAAAAATGGACTTCTTCTTGCGCCCAGGGGAGATAACCTCTTCATCGTCTGTGTCAGCCGAGGATTCTGTCCCAGACTTTAATCTCTGTCTTCCTCTAGTTATTCCTACTTCTTCTATGTCCTTAAGTCCACTATGTATCTCCACAGTTTTATCTATTGCATGGTCCTCTTCCTTGTCCCTTTTCTCTGCAATCTGAATCAGTGTGGGTTTACCATCAGTAACGATTCCCCTGAGTCTAGATGGACTGAGAGATTTTGATTGATCAGAGGAAGGCTCATCTTTATTTGTGACTTTTGACAAGACACTTGATGGGAGGCTATTAGACCGCTCTGTATGGTCTTTTGGTGGAGGCTCTTCATCATCTACTCCATCAATGAATGGAAAATCAACAGTCCCATCTGTTAGGGATCGGATGGACCCTCCGGGAATGGACTGGCCTGCCTCACTGCGACATTTAGCACAGCTCGTCCGTGACGAATACCTGGATCCTTCTTTAGAAGTGCTTCCGCTGACTGGCCCATCGGTTTCTATGACATCCTCCACCACCACTTTTTGATAAGATGTCGGTATTGCAGCATTCTCTTCATTATTGTTTAATAAAAGTTGTTTCTTGAGGAATTGCTCTAATATTCTATGAACCTCAGATCTGATCTCCTCCTCTGTTGGGGGAGGTAGGGGGGATTTCTTGCGGGGTTTTCCCCTTGTTTCTTTCAGATGAGTTGACAATACATTGGAGGCCTCTTTGTGGGTCTTTAGTACAGGATTTCTTCCCTCAGCCATGTTTGTCTGTCATTTTCTTCCCTTTTGCCTTCTCCTAAAATTAAATTGTGACAGCTAGATTTTATGCAAATTCATATAGATTATGATTGAGCATAATTATCTAATTTCAACTAATTAATACATAGCTCACTCTCTCAATATAAGACCAGGTAATTTGAGATAATTACTTATAATTATATTTATTGTCAAAATTAAATGGTACTCCCTATTCAATCACTTTTAAATAATACTAATTACTATATATTTAGATGATTATGAGGTACATTGTAATTGAATAATTATTTAATCAACAGAAAACAGAGCACAGTTCTAATTCATTACTTCTCTCTTTGACACAATGCTTGGCAGTCTGTCCTTAAATCTTCATGGATAAGTTCTTTTATTCTCTCAAAATCGTTATAAACATGGTACAAGAACTATGTGATGAGGACAATAATATAAAATATATAGTTTCAGGTCAGAGGTACAAACACATGATACATCCCAACAAAAAAATTAATTCATGAATTTGAGAACAGAATGTTGACAATATTGTAGCTTATTTCAGCATAGCTCTACAGGCAGGTTCATTCCAAAGACTATTTCTACCTACGTAGCTCATAATAGCTATTTAAACTTACTTGAAGTAGCTACTTCTACCTACTTTTACCTGTCTTTGAAAATAAAATTAAATGATAATTAAAGTGCATCTTTAAAACAGGTCAAACTTGCTGTTTATCAACTTGTGCACTTGTATGGCAAAATTCAGGGTGTTAATTTGAAAACTTTAAAAGGGTGGCAGATGGAGAGGAAATGCAATACAAATCATCCCCAAAACATTTTATTTAAGAAAACATGACAATAAGATATAAGTGGATACAGTTTTGTGAGACATTTTAGACTCAGTTTTGATCCCTACCACCCAGAAAATGAAACTGGGTGTTGTTTTTGATGCCAAATTAATAAATCAGAAAGGAATCATTTTTTGGCCAAAAATTTTATTGTATTCATCCTTAGTGTGATTGTTTTATGTAATATTAGGTACTAACCATATTGTGTCATTTCTGTGTTAGGCCACAAAATGCAAGTAAAGCAAAAAAGTAGGTAAAAATAGGAACCTGGAGTAGGTTTAAACAGGTTGGGACCAATCGCCCAAATGGGATATAATAGCCCACTGTTTATGAGACTGATCCCTCGGAAGTTCCTAAACTTCTTGGGGATCAATCTAACAAACTGTAGGGTTGCAGAAAAACTCGTATGCCAAAAGTTATTCCTTTTTAAGAATTCTGATGCAGATTTATGATATTTATAGCCAAAATGAAAATTTTCATCTTTTGCACTGTAAATTTATATCCCATTTCAATTTGGGATATTATTTCCCAAACGGGCTATTATATCCTATTTAGGCGATTGGTCCCAACCTGTTAAATATCTAGGTAGGTATAAGTAACTACACAGGTAGAAATAGGCTTTGGACTGGATCTGACGGGTACACTGTACATTGTATATAGATAGAATGTTCTATCGTTAAAGTGATAAATGTCCTACGGACCCGGCACATCGATTTACCCAAAATGGACCCAAACGGACCCAAATGGACACAAATGGACCCAAATGGAAACCCAAATGGAAATCAAATGGACCCAAATGGAAAGCAAATGGAATATTAAATATATATTATCGTATTATCAAGTTATTACTAACTTATTTAAAATGATGAAAATAACAAACTTACAAATGGAGAATAATAATTATTCATTTCTAATATTATATTTTAAAATACGAATTAATTTTCTATAGTATTCTATACATCAGCAAAATTATTGGGGGGTGTGCGGCACCTCCCCCGTGCCCCTCCCCCCGGTTCCTACGGCCACTAAATAAACTTTAATATGAAATACTTCAATTTGTATTCAATGATATGCAAAAGTTACAAATAGAAAAAAAAATTAATTCGTATTTTAAAGTACAATATTAGAAATGAATAATTAATATTCTCCATTTGCAAGTTTATTATGTTCATTAAATAGAATAGAATAGAATAGAATAGAATAGAATTTATTTGCCAATCATGGTCCCACTGGGGGCATAACATAGATACAAGCATAATTTGTAACACTCAAGAGGACAAAAAAAATACATGAACATACAGCAATACAGAACATAAAAATACTAGATGTTGAGTCTAAGCAAAACAGAGTTGATGAATAATTTCAATTATCTCCCTTACACCAGGAAGCCATATATGGCATTACAATTGAGTCCCCTAAACTACAAAATATTTCAAGGGACAGTGCTCTAGGAAATACATGTCTCAGAAGTGTAACTGTCTGGACAGCATTCCTCCTCATAACTTATGTAGAACAGTAATTCAATAATGTATGTATCATATAAAATAACAACTTGAAAATACAATAATATATATTTAATATTCGATTTGGGTCCAATTGATTTCCATTTGGGTCCATTTAGGTTTCCATTTGGGTCCATTTGGGTTCCATTTGGGTAAATCGACGCACCCTACGGACCCGGTTTAACGATTGTGGTGAGGGCCTGTATAATTATGTACATTGTATCTGATTTTTTGGTTTTTGGTCGATATTCATATTCTTGGAGGAAAAAAATACCTTTTTGTATTAAATGTACACAACATTTACATAAAACTAGGTATGAATATTTTCCCTATGGGTTATTAATATATCGATTAATTGATAAACAATCATCAAACTGTGTCATAGGCTTGCGCTTGTGATACTGTACAGAGGAAATTAGGAATAATCAATGACTTACCACAGTTTTACCTCACTTTTCATAAGTGATCGATAACACAAAATTATTATACCAATAAAAATAGCATCTTATCATAATTAACGTTATCTCACCTATTTAATATTGATATGTTTAGAAATCGCAGAAGCTGATCTAATGGTAGGAAGAGTTCTAATAATAAGGGAAATAACTCCTCTAGTTTCGTTTTTGACAATCCAGATCCCGACCTTTACCATTAGTGGAAGCATGTCGGAGAAAATTGCAATCGTTGGGAGGTAAAAAGGCAATGTCAGCTGTATTTGTTAGAAAAAAATATTCAATGCATTAAGAATACACATTTACAAATGTATGAAATGTCATGTAATTTTGTAGAAGTCTTAGTTATAAATACAAACAGCCTGCATGATTGTATAGGGTGTCCTCTATATGCATGCAAATTCTTAATATTTACACTAACTTCCATTACCCGCAATTATTATCATATGAACATGTTCTGTGTCTGCATTTTACACAGTGACTTAAAGTGTAATAATCACCTGAAATGTAATAATAACATTACACGAAATGTAATAATCACATGAAATGTAATAATCACCTGGAATGTAATAGAATATCTCAAATTTTATAATAACATGAAATGTAATAACCAGAATATATTAATCACATAAAATGTAATCATCATTATCAAAAAGTAATAATCACATAAAGAGAAATAATCACATAAAATATAATAATTACATAAATGTAATAATCATCTAAAATGTAAAACTATTTCATTTCAACCTCAATAAAGAAATAAATCTATTAAATGTAGCATGCCAACATTTTCTGACAATTGATATTATATAATTTTTTTTTGAAAAAGAATCTTTTTTATGATAAATTGGTCAAAGCAGACTCTCTTCTCTTCTTAAGTCATGAAAATAAGATTTCTAAGGTTTATTAAGGTTTAAGGTATTAGTTTATGTGCTTATAACTTATATGCCAAGCTATGCAACATTTCTATGTTATTATAAAGTAATTGATGGAAGAATGTTCAGGTAATCTTTTGCTCAGGTGGCCCAGTTCAGATCTTGTCTTGCTAAAATAGCAATTAACATTTTTAATCGCTTAAAAGCTCACCATATCTTCAAAATGAGTGAAGAATTTTACATGCTTCAAAAATCATTTAAATGTTAATCTTCAATGGAGTAGCTGCATCCATATTGATGCCTTTCTTTTAATCTTTTAATTTAAATCAAGTTTATTATTGAAAGTTATTTCATAACTTTCAATGGCATCTGAAAGAAAATTGCTGTTAATTAAAATCAATATAAAATCATGACTATTACACTGTGCATCACCAAAATTTCATGACACTTTATTTTCGTGAGATGGGTATTTGGTATAAGCGAGACAAAATTTTCACGAATGGTGGTTGATGCCGTATATTTCCTTATGTGCTAATAAAAATATCTATTCTTTATTTTGTACAGTGGGCTGATTGGCCAGAATTGGTCAATGATCTTTGCTGCCCAGGGGTACAAGGTCCATGTGTTTGATGTAGATCCTGGCCAGTTGACTCGAGCGGAGCAGAACATCGCCCGGACTCTCACAGAGTATGAGGAGGAGGGATTTCTCAGAGGTGTCAGTGCCGCAGCAGAGCAGGCTAAACTGGTGACCTTTACTAGTTCCCTACAGGAATGTCTGACTGGAGCAATCTATGTACAGGTCAGTAAATTATGATTAATCTCTGAGTTTTATTTTATTGCCAGGTAAACAACACCTACAGAATATGTATTAGGAGATCCAGGTGTAACAAGAAGGGAAAAAAATTTGATGGACCAGACCAGGATTCAAGCCTGGACCCCCTGAACTGTAGACAGATACTCTTCTGGCTACCTGACCAATGGCAATCAAAGCTGCCTCACCACCACACAGGCTAATTTTGTTTAAAAAGTTCTTTTTTTAATGGTACTTATTAAGTTTTAATGCCAGAAGAACTATAAGAATAACTCTTTTTATACTAAACTTGGGCAGCAATAAGAAATATCGAGGAAATCAATTTTCAGAGCTTACAAAGATTTGAAAACTAAATTGCTGTACCATCAAATACATTAATCCCAATATTGAGATTTGGATTCAGATTTTATCATGGAGGTATATATTACATACGTAATTGTCTGATTTCATCTGGTATTCTTATGTATACATTTCTAGGAGTGTGTTCCAGAAAACTTAGATCTGAAGAGGAAGGTGTTTGGCCAGATAGATGAGATTGTGGGTGGAGCTACAGTAGTGGCTAGCTCCAGCAGTTGTCTTCCTGCTTCTTCCTTCACTGAGGGCCTTAGAAACAAAGAACAGATGCTAGTGGCTCACCCGGTAGGGAAGTCTCCATTGTTAGGCTGGGTTATTGTGACTGATTTAGCTTCTGAGTCTTAAAGAATAAAAAATGAAGGCTTCCTTAAATTGCAGAGAAGGAAATATTAAATGCTTTTGTACACAATACATGTAAAAGATAAAAGATTGAGGAACTGGCCTATTAATTTGTAATTATTCCTTGTAAGCAAGGTTTTCTGTAAATGAGTGAAATGTAAGCAAGGTTTGCAACACACTACTGTGTATGGCACATGTAAAGTGTATAATATGTAAATTAATTTAAAAGATTCATATGACAGATAAACCCACCATATTTTGTTCCTTTGGTTGAACTGGTTCCTGCTCCATGGACTAAACAGGAAACATTGACAATGGCACGGGAGCTGATGGAGAAAGTAGGTCAGTCACCCGTCACTCTCCGCAGGGAGAGTCTAGGATTCGCACTCAACAGAATACAATATGCAGCCATTAACGAGTGCTGGAACATGTATCAGGTACAATTCAAAATATGTTGTAGCAATTGCAAACATTTAGTTTACCATAAAAAATATTACTTTTCAGAAAAAAAATGAACAATATACAGTTGTTGCTGTTTTTGAGGTCAATACACGATTAAGCTACTTTAAGAGTACAATATTCACTGAAGGCCGAGGTCTCATGCATGATTTCTACAATGTTGTATTTCAGCCAATCAGAGAGCTAGGAATTATTCAATTAAATAATAAAAAGAAATTGTGTTCTGAGAACTATGAATGTCTTTTATGTGAAATTTATTACAAACTGCAAAGAATTACATGTACATATATACATTTTCTGTATGAATTCCTTCTGGATTGTACACACATTTTGTAAATGACAAGAGTATTGTTCCCTTGGTTACAGTCTGGTTTGTTGAGTGCTGAGGACATTGACAAAGTCTGTTATGATGGACTGGGTCCCAGATACGCCTTCATTGGACCACTACAGACTATGCATCTTAACGCTGATGGTTTGTGTGTTCATTAAATAGAAATAAAATTAAATGTTTGCAAATGATTGTCAATCAACCAAATATTTTTTGATATAGGAATCCTTGTATTAAATGTGTACAAAAGACATGTAATATGTAAAAAGGATATGTATATACAAACCAAGAAATGGAATGATGAATTTTATTTTGTGATGAATTCTTATAATACTGACAGATTTACTGTGATTCTAATTTGCTAAAGTAAAAATTTCTTACTTCTGTTTAATCAGGCATTGTGGATTACTGCAAGAGATATGCAGATGGAGCATATAATGTACAGAAAGAGACTTTTAAACCTATCCCTGTTCAGTATGATGTAGAAACAGCAGAGAAGATCCAGGCTGAATACAATGCTTCAATTCCATTGGATAAAATTCCAGACAAGAGGAAATGGAGAGACACTAGACTTGCAAATTTAGCTAAAATGAAGAAACAGTTAGATGATAAATAACAAAAAGTTATGAAATCTTATTTATTGTAATCACAACAAATGTAATAATGTATAGTTAATGAAAAGTTAATTTTTCAAACTCAGGCTTACAGGTAGAGAAAAAAAATATACATTGTAAGATTGTAGAAAATGTATAGAAATCTTAATCCAACAAGTCAGAACATATAAATATCTCAGGGAATGTAAAAGGAACAACACAGCTTTGACATGTAGTGGTTTTAAAATTACAGAATACTAGTAAGTGTTTCCAGCCCCTTGTGTTTTGAAATAATTTAGTTAAATTGATTCTGAACAGTTTGTTCAATTCATTTTATAAAAGTTGAAAGGGAGATGAAATGAACATTTGTTTGTAGTTACTAGTTAACTTACACCTGTTGGTTGCAGGTTATAAAATTTATGGAACTAATGTCAACCTAAAATGAAAAAAGTGCTGAGAAATTTATGTGTGTTTATTATGAAAATTTATTATGCTGTCTCTCTGTCATACTTAAATAATTATTCTCTTCCTTATTTCTTTTCACTTGCTGTCAAGTTGTAGTGCTTCTATAAATTTCTAATGTTTCTCTGTTAGAAAGTAATGGACCATTCATAAAATACTAGTAAACACTTCTATTATTGACTTTGGAGAAAAAAAAACTCAAATGACCTTGGTTTAAGGATCTCAGTTCATAAATAATCCTTGTGTGAAGGATGAACTTCCAATGTTTCTTCATTAGAAAGTTATAGACAAAGAATAAGTTGTATATTTCTTCTGACAGTGACCTTCAACTTGCTCAAATGACCTTGGGGTAATGTCACATAAACACTCAGGTCATAAACAATGTGTGTGACAAGCTTTCTCCATCACAAAGAATGGCCAGGGCAGTTCCAAAAATAACCTAAAACTTGCCCATATATGACCTTTGATCAGATCAAGGCAAACCTTTGGGTTATATTAGTAATTTAACATTCGAATTCTACAATTTTTTTCTGTCATGGACCTGAAACTTTCACAAATGACCTTTGTCAAGATCATGGACCTCTTTCAGACCCTAAGCAATCTGCATCAAGTATGAATTTCCAAGGTTTCTCCATCGTGGAGTTTTGGTCCTGACACGGTTGAACTGACAGACCGACAAGGTGATTCACATATACATGTACATGTCTAAGAGAGAAAAGAAGTCAGTTGAGCTCTTAATTTTGTTTTAATAAAGAATAAACAGAGAAGGATCAGGAAAATTCATTGTATTCAATATATACTATTATGTCTGTCTGAAGAATTAGACCTGGAGGCAATAGTGACTTTCTACTACAGAATTACGTAACAACTTCCCTATTTGAGTGTTATATCGACCTCATTGACGTGTAATTGTTGTTGATTTATTTCAGATGTTTGGTCCCTTCTCATGCTTATATTTATTTTATGAAGTCATTATTTCTAGAGTATTGAAATAAAACAGATCCGGGAAACAATTTCGTTCGGGCAAGCCTAACAGAAATTCTGACAGGCAAAATTGAAAAGTGGGAGGGGACACAACCGTAACTTATACATATATACATGTACTGGCAAGTTATTGAGGGGTCATAATTGTAAATTATCTTTCCTAATGTATAGTACATACTGGAAAAATTATTAAGAGGACACAACTGTAAATTAGCACCGTTTTCTAAAGTAAACTATATTCTGGCCAAATTATTGGGGCGACTGGGGTAAGGTCCGGTTCCTACAGGCCTGTAAAAGAAGTGGCCTGGGTTTTTAAGTTTTAAAAAGTATCAGTAAACCTGTAGAAAAAAATTAAATTTCACAGTATAACTGTTATCTTGTTTTACTTCTGGATGTAACCATCTTCACTGAAACACGAATTAGAATCAAAATCTATATATAGTATCTGAACATTTTGCATAAGGAAACCTTTTCAATGAATAGTATTTCCCATTCGTCCTAAATTGTATTTTGTTCAAAACACTAGTATATATAAGAATAATCAAAACGTTTCCTATACTTGTATGTTCATTAAATGGACGTGCTGAATAGGACTGCACAAATAATATCGATATTCTGGTGTATTGCGGTACGCTGACAAAAAATATGGTATTGCGATTCGTTTTTTCAGTATCGATATACCGGCAAAATACTTGGGCTTGGAATTTCTAAAGTAAAATATGAAATTTAAGATGTCAGAAACGCTTTCAATCGTGCCAAACAGTAAGGTTGCATTTCAGTGCAAAACTGTGGTTAAATCAACACGAACTTTTTTGTTACAAGCTATTTTTAGCTCACCTCGACGAAGTCGAGATGAGCTTATGCTATACCCCCGGCGTCGGCGTCGGCGTCGGTGTCGGCGTCGGCGTTAGCGTCGGCGTCCCAGGTTAAAGTTTTAGGAGCAAGTCCCATTCCCAAGTAACTATAAGCCCTACCTGTACCAAACTTGCATGGATGATGCATCTAGGGATGGACACTACCACACTTGCTTCGGATGCTGGATCTGACCTAGATTTTCCGGATGAGTGACCAGGTTAAAGTTTAAGGAGCAGGTCCATTCCCAAGTAACTATAAGCCCTACCTGGACCAAACTTGCATGGATGATGCATCTAGGGATGGACTCTACCACACTTGCTTCGGATGCTGGATCTGACCTAGATTTTACGGATGAGTGACCAGGTTAAAGTTTAAGGAGCAGGTCCATTCCCAAGTAACTATAAGCCCTACCTGGACCAAACTTGCATGAATGATGCATCTAGGGATGGACACTACCACACTTGCTTCGGATGCTGGATCTGACCTAGATTTTCCAGATGAGTGACCAGGTTAAAGTTTTAGGAGCAGGTCCATTCCCAAGTAACTATAAGCCCTACCTGGACCAAACTTGCATGGATGATGCATCTAGGGATGGACATGGCCACACTTACTTCGGATGCTGGATCTGAACTAGATTTTCCGGATGAGTGACCAGGTTAAAGTTTAAGGAGCAGGTCAATTCCCAAGTAACTATAAGCCCTACCTGGACCAAACTTGCATGGATGATGCATCTAGGGATGGACACTACCACACTTGCTTCGGATGCTGGATCTGACCTAGATTTTCCAAATGAGTGACCAGGTTAAAGTTTTAGGAGCAGGTCAATTCCCAAGTAACTATAAGCCCTACCCGGACCAAACTTGCATGGATGATGCATCTAGGGATGGACATGGCCACACTTACTTCGGATGCTGGATCTGACCTAGATTTTCCGGATGAGTGACCAGGTTAAAGTTTAAGGAGCAGGTCCATTCCCAAGTAACTATAAGCCCTACCTTGACCAAACTTGCATGGATGATGCATCTAGGGATGGACACTACCACACTTGCTTCGGATGCTGGATCTGACCTAGATTTTCCAGATGAGTGACCAGGTTAAAGTTTTAGGAGCAGGTCCATTCCCAAGTAACTATAAGCCCTACCTGGACCAAACTTGCATGGATGATGCATCTAGGGATGGACATGGCCACACTTACTTCGGATGCTGGATCTGAACTAGATTTTCCGGATGAGTGACCAGGTTAAAGTTTAAGAAGCAGGTCCATTCCCAAGTAACTATAAGCCCTACCTTGACCAAACTTGCATGGATGATGCATCTAGGGATGGACACTACCACACTTGCTTCGGATGCTGGATCTGACCTAGATTTTCCAGATGAGTGACCAGGTTAAAGTTTTAGGAGCAGGTCCATTCCCAAGTAACTATAAGCCCTACCCGGACCAAACTTGCATGGATGATGCATCTAGGGATGGACATGGCCACACTTACTTCGGATGCTGGATCTGAACTAGATTTTCCGGATGAGTGACCAGGTTAAAGTTTAAGGAGCAGGTCCATTCCCAAGTAACTATAAGCCCTACCTTGACCAAACTTGCATGGATGATGCATCTAGGATGGACACTACCACACTTGCTTCGGATGCTGGATCTGACCTAGATTTTCCAGATGAGTGACCAGGTTAAAGTTTTAGGAGCAGGTCCATTCCCAAGTAACTATAAGCCCTACCCGGACCAAACTTGCATGGATGATGCATCCAGGGATGGACACTACCACACTTGCTTCGGATGCTGGATCTGACCTAGATTTTCCACATGTGAGACCAGGTTTAGATTTAGGAGTAGTCTCGTTTCCAAGTAACTATAAGCCCTACCTGGACCAAACTTTCATGGATGATGCATCTAGGGATGTACACTAACCAATCTGCTTCGAATGCTGGATCTGACCTAGATTTTCCACATGAGTGAATTTTAGCCATATTTTAACCAAATTAGCATGGATGATGTATCTAGGGATGGACACTTCCAGACTTGCCTTGGATTCTGAATCTGATGTACATTTTCCAGATGAGTGACCAGGGTAATTTTTTGGAGTAGCTATATAATATTATGGCCTGTTATGATTAAACTTGCATAGATGGTGCATCTAAGGATGAAAACTTCCAGACTTGCTTTGGATGTTGGAAGTGACCAAAATTTTCTTGATTACTAAACAGGTCAAAAGTTTTTTGAGCAGGTCTATAATTAAATCAAACTTGCATGGCCATTGATCTTGGGATGTACCCTAACTAGAAAAAAAATATGATGTGAAATTTGCCTTACATGTAGATAACATTCGTCGAGGTGAGCTTCGTAATCTTTGATTACCTATGTTTCATAGTTATATACGTTCTGCTTATAAATGGAGGTTAAAACAAGAAAAGATCATCTTATCTGTTATTGCAATACATATCGCAATACAGTTAAAAATCACAGTATATCGCAATACGAAATTTCCATCCGATACCCAGCCCTCGTTCTGAATTTGTCATTGTCCTGCACTCATTACTGGAAAGTCCAATGTTCTCAATGATGATGTTAATTTTTATTAATATTACATATTATGTAATTCGTGGTAAAATCTGAAGTTAAAAAGAACGTGTAAAATACAAATTTGTTTTATTCGATCAATGGTGAACTTTCCAAAAAATTCGTTGGATGATAGACTCGATGACGCAGTTAGGTCATGACTCGCGAGTGTTTTGTTTAAACATTTGGTATTTGCACTGACAGCATACGATAAGAGGATGGTTTATTATGATATGGCCTCATTGCCTACCCTGGTATTCTTGACTGATTTTACAATGATTTAGAATACACCGTCAACTAGAACAAACAATTATCAAAATCTGTTAGATACAAAATCACAGCGTATTGTACCGTTTAAGTTTCTTAGGATACTGAAATTAAAGTAAGCATTTTGCTCGTGAGATTAAGGTAACAACATTGTTTAATAGTCAAAGTAACCATGTTTATATTTTTTTAAAAACTACCTTAAGTGCCAAATTACATCAAGATGTGTTTGTGAAACACTGATGCCTCCGTATGGCAACTTATAACGAAGGTTAAACTTTCTCAAATGCAAATCAAATATGTTGGTACCCAAAGGAAGGTCTTGTCTCGAGGAATGTACCAGTGAAATATGAAAGCCCTAGAAGCAACCATTGGATAGATATGGAAAAGGTTAAAGTTTTTCAAAAGTAAGTCAAACATCAAGGTCAAGTTCAAATGGTACAAAATAAATGGTGCCTAAGGAAAGGCCTGATGACAAGAAATGCACTAGTGAAATATGAAAGTCCTAGCCGTTCAAAAGTTATGGCCAATGTTAAAGTTTTTCAAAAGTAGGTCAAATTCCAAGGTCAAAGTTGTTGGTATCCAAAGGAAGGTCTTGTCACAAGAATTACTTATGTGAAGTATGGAAGCCCAAGTACAAACTGTTTAAAAATACGGAATCTCTTTGAACGTCTTTTTTACTTCTGGACATTGAGGGAAAATGTTGGCACGATTTTAATGAGAATTGAAACCCCGCCAACCACCCTGTGGTTATGAATTTCACACTTTTCATAATGTTTTGAATTTTGAATTATTCTGTTAAATATCATGATATATTTGAATTTGTAAACTCAAATTATTTGGATTTATGGTGAAGTATTTCTACCAAATTTGGTAATAATATGACGTTAAATAAAAAGAAGTTATTACGAAAGTCTACGTATTTTTTTGAATGACCCTCGTATGAAGATAACGAACAGTGATTGATCTCAAAAAAGTCTACCGACAATATACAAATTTGTGAACAGGACATAAAACACGGACCCCCGGAAATTCCATAGGTGAGATCAGGTGCTTAGGAGGAGTAAGCATCTCCCGTTGGCCGGTTACACCCGCAGTGAGCCATATGTATTGATTAGGGAAGACGGAACATTCCGTAATCAAATTTAGTTAAAAACCAAAGGCCTACCAAATGGTATGAAATATTTCAGTGAAAACACTACCTAGTGATAGGTTATATTTGCTTACAAGGTCATTATAACGACCCTAGAATTTATGAAATACTGACTTTTAACGAGGTTGTTGAAATCCCCGTAACATCAACTTATCTGTCAGTACCCTTCCTCGGTTTAATAATTGATCGTACTCGGAGCAAGCTCTTGAGTATCGAATACGTTGAGAGATGTTAAAACACCATATGCAGATGATATCGGAACATTACTACTTGTATATAAATAAGGAAAGTTGATGATGAACAATTGTAGTCATCTCGTTTGTCATAAAATTTAGTTGTTAGCTGGCCCTTATCGTCTTTGGTCAGTAAAACATTCAAATATGGTGTCTTCACTGGGATATATCGAGTCGACAAATAAAAGGAAGTAACTATTGTTCATTGATAAAACGTCGTCGATATATCTGAATGTCGAGATGAAGGCCACAGCAAGTGTTTTCTTCCCCTCGTGTAGAAGTTTTTGAATAAATTTTGCTTCATAGGAATACAAAAACAGATCGGCTAATAAAGGAGCAAAATTAGTTAACACTGGAATTCCAACAGTTTGTTGGAGGACCTGCTCATTCATTGACGTTCATTTTATTGAAGAACCAGCTGTCTATATAATATCAAAAAGCCCAGTTTTATTTATTTATTGCGAAGATTGGTTGTATGAAGTGTATAAAATTCATGTACGTTTTGAGGTTTTTACTTGGGGGAAAATGGTTTTAAAAATTCTTTGGAGTTTTTGAGAATCCACATCTGAATTACACCGCTTCTACAATATATATGCTGTAGCACAGTATATTTGAAGCTTCTCCTTTAAATTATAGAAATTAATATTTATGTAGGGAGTAAAGATAGGGGATTAGTAGAGAATTCGCTGGACCCGGCAATATGTTTGTATGGATTTTTATGAAGTTTAGGAATCCAGTATATGTAGGGCATATCAAACTTACCTTCGTTGACTGGAATGTTAAAAGTATTTAAGACTGAAATGTGATTTTATGAAAGAAAATTATCCTTTGAAAGTGAACAGTGAGTATACATGTAAGTTAGATATCCAGATGTAGAATTAAAAGCACGTTCTTCTAAAATACACGTATAATAATGAGCCTTGCAAACAAAGACGATATTGTTAATTGCCTTGTCTGCTGGAACCATAGAATGTTCATGTAGTCTTTCTAATTCTTTAATCACCTCTGATTTAGTATAAACGGAAGGAGAAAATCTTCTTTTCTCCTAAACACCAAAACATCAAACAGTCAGGGTCCTTCGGATGAGACCTTAAAAAACCGAGGTCCAGTGTCACGGTAGGCGTTGGCATGATAAATTCTCACTGCTCAATGTCCCTGAGTCCCGAGTAGAGGTCTAGATTTGAAGCCCTCCAACGGTATATGGTGACGTCTCTATATGAGTAAAAAATTCTCACAAGGGACGTAAAACAACATACAATCATTCAAATAGTCAAACTGTTTGCATGTTTATGATTAGCAATGACCTACTACTAAACCTGTGAAATTCATGATCCCTGGATTTAGGGTTCATTTAGGGTTCAGGCCCCTAAGGACTAAGTTGGATTTAGGGTTCAGGTCCCTAAGGACTAATTGATCTTCTGTAGGTAAACTGTTAACATTATTAAAATTAGCTTGTACCTGTATTATATTTTAAGGTTCTGGACATCAAGCAGACTAATAGCATTGACTGATTAGTCCTTTAAGAAAATACTTGTAGTAAAATTCATGGCCCTTAGGTTCAGGAAGTCCGATAGACTAAGTTGTCATAAACTAAAATCATATTATGTTCTTGAAATTCTTTTTAGATCACCTGAGTACAATCAAATTCTTCGGTAATAAAATTTAAAGAAAATGCCAAGTTAAGATAAGATTTTTAGGCATGGGCAATATATTAGAAATGATGAATAAGACAAGTAAATTTTTAAGATTATCACGGACGTGATTGGGTGGAGAATACATAATCCCCTATTGAGATTAAGTGGGGACTACATGACCCCCTATTGTGTTGGGATGGGGACTGCAGAACCCCACTTGTGATTGGATGGGGACTACAGACCCCCGGATGTAATGGGGCGGGGACTACAGAACCTCTCTTGTGATGGGATGGGGACACATAACCCCCTGTTGGGACGGGACGGGGTCTACACAACACCCTGTTGTGATTGGGTGAGGACTACAGAACCCCACTTGTGTTGGAAAGAGGACTACATACCCACTGTTGTGACGGGATAGGGACTACATAACCCCATGTGGTGAATTGGTGGGGACTACAGAACCCCAGTTGTGGTGAGGTGGGGACTACAAAACCCCCTGTTTTAGATGGGGTGGGGACTACAGAACCCCTATTTTTATTGGGTGGGGACTACAAAACCCCTGTTTTGATAGGGTCGGGACTACGAACTCCAGTTGTGATAGGGTGAGGACTACGGAATCCCAGTTGTGATGGAGCGCCTGTTTGATGCATGGGGTGGGAACCACAATCATTATTTGATATACCTTGATAGGAGGGTTTGTACCATTTTGGAGTTCAATGATAAAAACACAAAACTAGGGACAAATTTTAGGTGTAAAGAGCTGGCTAGAAAGCACTTTCTATTTGTGATCATGAATATCCTCTGTGCATAAATTACTATACATGTAGTACACTATTTGCCGGGGAAAAACCGTTCTCATGCATAACTTTTCACTACTGAAACTTTTACTTTTTGGACTTTTTTTGTTACTTTTCTGAATTTTACAACCTTTTTGGATTTTGGCAATAGTTTGATCTAATCTTAATACCTTTGTATGTTAAGAGTATATTGGCCTACTCTGATGTGATTCCTAAATTGATATTTATTAACTACTAGTATCACATAATCATGGTGGATTTAATAAACGTTTGAAAAAATGTAAATCTTTGTATTGGTTTACACTGATATCAGGTTCAGGCCCAAGGGTTATGATAAGTTGGTCATATATTGACATTGCATTATATCTTTAAACTTTAAAGTTTTCTTTATTTCTTTATTGGACATCAAGGAGGCAATCTATGAACATGATTGATGCCAGCAATAACCTCTACTGTACGACCCCTAAGTTCATTTAACTATGTTGTTAAGCTGGATATCTAGCAGGCAAACGCTTTGCATGATTACAGTAAGTGCGTAACCCTTTACCAAGACTGTAAAAAATAAATCATGGCTCGAGGATAATGTTCAGGCCCAAGTAGGTCACATCTTGGAAGTACTTGCATGTTTGAAAATTGCTTTTTCTCAACAACATTTCGCAGATGGACTATTTGTATGACTACTATGGATCGCGAATTAAAAGACTGAGGGGCAATATGAGAACCATCTATCCTGTATTCAATAATCCAGAGGTGAAAAAAGAATTAGATAGATTACATATCAGTACGTACTGCTCCCTGCTGACAAAGCAGGTAACAACATTGTCTGTATTTGTAAGGCTAATTATATAAAATGTATTTTAGAGGAACTTGGATTTAGTTCTACAAGTGGTAATCCAACTTATACTCATAGTTCCCTTCCTAAGGAAGAAATTCTTCAAAATCATATGTCAGTTTTGAATATTTTTAATATTCCAAACAACCAAAATGAATTTGAATTACCATATCTATATTGGATTCCGAAACTTCATAAAAGTCCTTACAAACAAAGATACATAGCGGGTTCCAGTATATGTTCAACCAAGTCTCTTTCTTCACTCCTCACTAAAATATTAACAGTAGTGAAGGAGAAACTTCAAGAGTACTGTGCAACAATATATTTGAGAAGTGGTGTAAATCAGATGTGGATACTTAAAAATTCCAAGGAACTTTTGGAAAATTTGAAATCACAAGAATTTACCAAAATCAACAGCTTAAAAAACTTTTCATCTTTATACACAACCATTCCCCACGATAAATTAAAGTCCAGGCTTTTTGATATCATTGACAGCTGCTTTTTCAATAGAGATGGAACTCGTAAATTTACTTACCTTGTCATTGGTCATTTGCAAAATTATTTTGTTAGAAAACACTCTGATTGTACACACAAGTACTCTGAAGTTGACATTAAAAAGATGCTTGAGTTTCTGATTGACAATATCTATGTGGTTTTTGGAGACCAGGTCTTCCAACAATCTATTGGAATTCCCATGGGTACCAATTGCGCCCGTTATTAGTAGACCTTTTTTTGTATTCATATGAAGCAGAATTTGTCTAAAATCTTATACGTGGAAAGAAGAAAACACTTTCTGTGGCTTTCAACTCGACATTTAGATATATCGACGACGTATTGTCAATTAACAATGGTTATTTCCATTCTTATGTCGATACGATATATCCCGGTGAGCTTGAGATAAAAGATACCATGTGAGCTTGAGAAAAAAGATACCACAGAGTGTGACGCATCTGTTTCATACTTGAAAAAGACGTTAATGGTAATCTAACAACCAAGCTTTATGATAAACGTGATGACTTTAACTTCCCTTACTTATGCAGCAATATACCTTCATCACCTGCATACGGGGTTTATATCTCTCAGTTGATTCAATACGCAAGAGCATGCTCTACGTATGTACAATTTCTAAAACGAGGTAAATTATTGACAAACAAGTTGATGGAACAAGAATATCAGCAGCGTTTAAAGTCATCATTTCGTAAGTTCTATGGTCGATACAATGACCTGCAAATACAATTTATCTTTGAGTCAAATGCTGACTGATGTTTTTTCATACTAATTGTTAGGCCATTATTTACACACTGAATTGCCAACGGATTTTCCCGTTATTTCCCGATCATGACAAGGAGCACACAGCGGGTGTGGCCGGTCGTCAGAGGATGCTCACTCCTCCATGGCACCTGATCCCACTTCTGATGTTTTGGAGGTCCGTGTTTGCTCTGCTCCTAATTTGTATTGTTTAATGAACTTTTGAGCTTGAATACTGTTCGTTATCTCCATATATTTCATACTTAACCTTTTACCAAAATTGTTAAAGTCATTGTTCTGGGTCCAGGGTTCAGACTCTAAGCCGTCTGGGCCTGGTCGAGTTTGTCTTTTTTAGGTCACCTGAGTCACACTCAGGTGCCCTATTGCTGTCTGTTTTCGTCCGTCGGCGTGCATCGTCAGTCTTCCGTTAACATTTGAACATTTTCAGCTTCTTCTCTGGAACCGCTAAACCAATTTCAACAAATTAGTATCTAAAAGTGAATTGGAACAAAAATTTTAAATTTCATGTTCCCCCTTGGGCCCGGGAGTTGGGGCTAAAAGCATCAAAATCGATGCAATCTTCTTCTTTACTCCTGGCCATCAAGTAGTCAAACTGTTGGCATGATTGTAACAAGCAATGAGTCCTCTACCATAATTGTTAAATTCATGCCCCATAGTCAGGGGTTCTGGAGTTAGGGTGGGGATGTATTGAACATATAGTGAAAATGCATAAATTCTTTCTAAAAGCTTCCTCTCTACCCCTTTATATTCTGTAGACAAACTAAGTACATGGTGAGGAGTTCTGGTGGTAGGGTGGGGCTCTAGTAACTATATGGTGTAAATGCACTATTTCTTTGAAAATCTTCTCTGTTCCATGTTTTGACTTAAGAGGATGGCATCAAATGTTTGAATTATTGAAATGAGTACTTAACCTTTCACCAAAATTATAAAATTAATGGTCATTGGCCTTATGGTTGTGTCTGAGTTGGTCATAGACATGTATATATTGAAAAACATTAAATCTTTGAAAATCTTTTTTCATAGATATCTAGTGGGAAAATGTTTCAATGATTACAATTCTTGTGTAAATTTTTAACAATTTTCATTTATTCCTGGCTGCTGGGTACAGGGTTCAGAAAATCTTTGTTCATAGACATCTAGCAGGATACACTGCTTGCCTGATTACAATGAATATACTTAACTCTATACCAAAATTGTAAAATTCGTGGCCCCTGGGTCAAGAGGGGTTAAGACCCTAGAATGTGACTGATTAAGTTGCCTTGTTTACCAATAGACATCTAGCAGGTAAACTGTGTGCAGGATTATAGGAAGCAGCTTAGTAGTAAATATAACCTATCATTGGGTCGTATTTTGACCTGACATTTTCTACCAATTGTTAGGACTAAATCTGGCTAATATTCCGCCTACCTGATAAAATACATAGGGCTCATAGTGGACGTAACCGATCGAAAAGGGATGCTTACTCCTTCCAGGCACCTGATCCCACCTCTGGAATTTCCAGGGGTCCGTGTTTTATGCAGTGTTTACAATTTGTATTGTTTGTAGTTTATTTTTTTCCTAAAAAATAGATCACTGTTCGTTAACGTCATTCTTTTTATTACTCCTGAACGTCTAGGAGACGAGCTGCATGAACATTATCATGATCTTGGAATCCTGACCAAATACTAGTGGTACATGTAGTTTCTAAGGCTATGAACAATTTGGTCCCACCTAGAAACGGACTCATACAATACTAAAGTAACAATCAAGGTCAATTTTCCTCTTATCTAAGAAAAGCATTTTACCGAATGCACAATACAGAGGCCTTGTCTCTCATATAGAGAACATTATGACGCTCTCATCTTCTCTCATCAATGCTCGACATTACAGATATTTAAAAAAAAAATCCCCAAAAGAACCGATTTTTTTCCATTTAAGCATTGGTATCAAGAAACATGTATACAATACACGTTATTCTTACTACATGTACTGCATGACTGAAATTAAAAGGCGGCAACTTCCCGAGTACTTTTGAAGGCGAGGTAGAATCGGGCAGCATTATCGTGTTGTCAATGAGAAAAAGAAATTCAGCAATCTTTATATCTCCCATTTCCGTTCTAAACCGTGTCGGTCTTTTGGTTTTGATTTAAAATATTTGTAGAACACTTCAGAATATCCCGCGTTTGTGTCACATGTTTTGATCTTTAACCCAGAAAAAATGATTTATGACCAGTTTGTGTGTCAGAAAACCAATTGCTCAAAAATTTTATTATGCAAGCTTTGGATTTGTTATCTTTGGCTAAAATTAAAAAAAAGAAGAAGAAATATTTCATTAATCACAGGTATGAAATACTATAAAATAGTTAATGGATTGTAATGCAGCTGATATTAAGTGACTATTAAGACACTTCGCGAACTAACACTATAAATGAATGAACTAACATAAGAAGTAATGATAATATAAAGAGAAAAAATCTGCAAATATTACATCTAGCCCCAGAACCATAAACTGAGAACAGACTTAAGTCAAATTTAAAACCAATACAACTTTTGAAATAATTTTGATAATGTAAGAAAATGTTCATCATATGTTTATATTTAAATGTTTTATGCAATTTTTTAAGCAAGTACATTAGATAAAACTTAAGATATTAAAAATCAAAATTTTGACTTAAGTCTGTTTTCAGTTTATGGTCTTAGGACCTGTTCCACTTTGAATATAACTGCACATTTACCATTGACAGGTGTGTAGAGGCCAAGATTACAGGTCAATCTATAGATAAGAGTCTGACTTTTTAAACTCTTGCTTATTTTTAGATTGTCTATAATTAAAGAACAGGAAGTACTTGATAATATTTTTAATGACAACATTTCCCATTTTACACCTTATTATCAATACCCTGACTAAAACCCACAGTCAATCTCACAAACACTTAAATACGTATGCGAGACTGACCGTGGGTTTACAGATGATGGACCAAAACTTCTCAGAAAAAAAATCGTATATTTCTTAATTGTTATTCAAAATTCCGATTGTTTATAATTCAAAGAATTATAAAGTTTCATGTTGAACAGGTAAATAAATTCAGTTTTCCAATTTACTGAAGTATAAAGTTCTGAATTTAAGGTAAAAATGTTTGTTTGTTTGTTGTTTAACGTCCCTCTCAAGAATTTTTCACTCATAGGGAGACGCCACCACTAGTCTTGCCAGTGGAGAGCTGCAAATTTTGGCCTATGCTCGGGCACTCAGGGCCATTGAGCATTGAGGGATCTTTTTCGTGCCAGCATCTACTGTGACACGGGAACTCGGTTTATACCGTCTCATCCGAAAGACCTAGGTAAAAATGAATTTACGAATGCTCTTGCAAAATGAAGTTTATGAATGCTCTTGCAACTACATCAAGTCTTTAAGCATTTGTCTGTTGTTCAGAACGGATTTGTAACGACTAATTTACCATACTTAAGTAATTACATATCACCAGGTTATGTTTTTAAAAAATCTGATATTATTGCTATATCGCAATGAGTTCATAGTACGAACTCCAAAAGGTAATTTTACATTCATTTTATTTTCAACTAAGATAAGTTTGACCAAAGGCTTGCAAAGACGAAACAGACTTTATATTTCAAAAATAATCATATTATGAATACTGACTAGATAAAGAGAATATAATATCACCATATTGCACCTGAGTATGACAATCATTGTTAATATCGTAATACATGGACACACCCATTACCCTGTCCCACACATAGATGACCGTCCTTTGTAACACAGAGTCCCATTGGTCGGCTGATGCCCAATGGCTGCAGCTTTATTGAAGTTAGAAATCGGCCATCTTGAAGTAGTATATCTATCATTTTATGTCCAAAATCCGAAATAAGTACATTATATCTAGAATCAGTACATATACCAATTGGTTCAAAACATGTTCGGCTTCCAGTGTATTCGAATTTAAATTTTCCCGCACTGTTCATTGCGATAACACTTTCAGAGGCAGCATCAACGACCCAAAGGTCTCTATTACCATTCTCAACAATCTTAATAGGTTTCTTCAGAAGGGATACTCCCTTTCGGTAGCACATTATTTCCAACCAGTCTGCGCATTCTTCATTAAAATAATGCACTATTTTCCCGTCAGCTCCGTGTTTATGCATAGTCACATAGAATCCGCCATTAATGGCCAAACACAATCCACATGGTAAATAAGGGTAAGAGTGTTTTAACCGCACGGTTAACGCCGGGGTTATTTTGTATATACAGTGTTCATTAGATACAGAATATATTATTTCTCCAGAAGTTGTCACTATAAAACCGGAAGGATGAACAGGACAGAGCTTTCTTTCTACCTCCTCGGCTGTCTTTGGTTTCACAGACACAAAAAATCCCGTCTTACTAATCCAGACGCAGTCATTTCTCGTGAACATGTTTTCAATGTACATGTCATAGCTCCAAGATTTCAATACTTTAATTTCATCTGTGAAAATAGCCCTTGACTTCCGTATATTTCCAAAGCTGTCACCAACAAGAGAGCCAGACCTAGGTGTGTGCAATTCTAACTTTGGGACCTGTCTCGGAGAACTATGTGTTGTATTCAAATCAGACTTTTTTGTTTTACTGAACTCCAAAATTTCATAGGTGTTTCCTGTGTTAATCACATTTTCACAAGTTTTCATCAAACTGTCAATTTCCCGTTTCTTATCCTCAAGTTGCGCAATTCTGCTCGCTAAGCCAGGACTGAATTCAAGTCTGTGTCCATTTATAATGTTTTTCAACTTCTGTGATGCTCTTTGTATCTCTTTGATAAAATGCTTCTCTCTCTTTTCGACTTCACTGGTGAGTTCATCACAGTTACTGTCTAGGCGAGATTTGACTAAGTAGTGCTCGTGAATATTTTCCCGAAGCGGTTTAAGACTTTTATCGGTTATCATCTTTTGATATTCTGAAATTTCTTCCTTTAATTCATTTGTCTTTTCCGTAACTGTCATGTAATGATGACCTTCATGTTTTCCGTATTTAGACTGCTTACACAAATTGCACACAAATTCGCCACAAACGTTACAATAGGAAGTCAGCTTTGAATGGTGAATGACACACTGTGTTTCTTGTCTCGCCATTCTACCCTGTGGTTTAGAAAACTTCTTTTTCCTAGAAGAAAATTTCCACATGTGTATAAATATTTCCTCTGTCAATCAAAAAAATATTCTGAAATACGTCAATCTGCATACATATTTGTTGCCAACAAATGAATCCTCTTTTAGCAATAAAACACCTGAACTGCACGTCTAGCTCAGTGGGTATATGGATGGGACATACTTCTTCCTAGACGATAAGACATCCTATACAATACCGAGACATTCTTTTGATAAACCATTCGTTTGTTTTTTGATTGGCTACAACTTGCATTTTTAAGTCTGTCACACTGTAGGTCGCACTGATAAGCTTAATTTGGGATAGTCTTGTTCATATGATGTTCAAAGCAATAGGGGTATTTTTGATGCATTGATAAACAGCTCAGGGTGCATAAATTAAAAGCAAATGCAAAGGAGTCCCCGATTATGGATGGACAGCAGGGAAAAACAAAAATTCAATGTAAAAGCAAGGGCACTGGAAGTTAATGTAAATATATAGTATGTGCAGTATGCATATGCATGCACATACTATATATTTACATTAACTTCCAGTGCCCGTGTGTAAAAGTTACTGTAGCTTGCCATAAAAAAATTGTACCAATTTTAAGTAAATTTGATTTATAAAGTCACATGAAACTATAAATGACTTTTATGTGACTTTTCATTTTATAATAAACCATACACACAATATTCCAAAATATAATTTAATCCAATTCTTTTATTATTTTAATGCCTGTTTACTCTTTACCTTTCAATTAACTAGAACAATTCTCTTGTTTATATTTGTATAATCTATTGTGTAACCCTTTAAACAAGGACGTATTTTCTGAATTTTCTTCGGCATTCAACAGTTGTCCCAAATTACTTAATGTTATGTTTTTTTTAAGTTGTGTATGGTAATAATTGACGGAAGTATAAAAGACATAAACCGAACAGCCTAACTTCCTTGATTCTAAAATAACTTAATTAAAAAAAAACTGCCGTTTATGGTTACGAGTCTCCTGCTCAATGAAGCCAACAATATTTCCGAAGATGTCATGTCCTAATGTTATAGTTTAGTATTCATAAAAAAATATGACCTGTCATTGATGTAATAAACGCTATGGGTCAATTATTAGGCGTATCATTAGAAGTACATATGTACGTGATCCATTCTTCCTGTTACATAAAAAAGACCAACTTAGAAAATCCTGGTTTTTCTGTAGGTCTAAAAATACAATACCGCGTCAGATTTATTGAAGCTTGCCAAATGTCTTCTAATGTTCGACAAATCATCAGTAGTCTTTACTTTAATTGTTAATTAAAGTACTACTAAAACAGAAAAGCCACAATGATGCTAACTTAAATCACTAACCTTTTCTCCTTAGCTTGCGTTTCAAAATGTTATCTAGTTCCTGTAGTTAAACAGGAATTAAAACCGATGAAAACTAGGTCAGCACTATGTGTAAGTGTCCTCTGTAGGGGCGGGAGGCAAAAGAAATGCTATTCACTGGAATAAAAAAAAACTGAGTTAACTTTCAAGAATCTTTTTCCGAAAAAGCTATGTATCAATTACTTTATTATTATTATTTTTTTTTTTGAAATTACGAAGAATGTTTTTTTTTTTTTTTATAAAAATCTGATAAACACTTCATCAAAATAAGAAATACAGTAAAAATATGTACACATTCTGAGTTATGATAAATCAAGATATTCTCTAGGCAAGAAAACAAAAGTCGTAAATTAAGATTTGTTCATGTATATTGAAAAAATAAAATTATCAAAAGAATGACTTCCTGGTTCATGATTCCTTAAATATAAGGTATGAATTGTTTAGATACCTTTATCCTTCTCTTTGTCAATAGTAAACCAGATTAATATCGTAGAAGTATACATATTTGTATCTATTCTTGACTAACAAGGTAAAACAAAATTCCAAAACTAAACATTTATACTTACCTTAATGCTGAAGTCAGCTGTAGTTTTAAGGTTTAGATACCTGGACTGTTTTGAGGTTGAAGTGCCTCGTTTCCTGTTTTACCTGTACAAAGCCTGTCCCATATACCAACCATATTTCATGGTCTTAAAAGCTGTACCACATACCAGGCATAGCTCAGAGCCTGGTTCTAACAGCTATACCACATACCAACCATAGGTCAGATCCTGGTCCTAACAGCTATACCACATACCAACCGTAGGTCAGATCCTGGTCCTAACAGCTATACCACATACCAACCATAGGTCAGATCCTGGTCCTAACAGCTATACCACATACCAACCGTAGGTCAGATCCTGGTCCTAACAGCTATACCACATACCAACCATAGGTCAGATCCTGGTCCTAACAGCTATACCACATACCAAGCATAGGTCAGATCCTGGTCCTAACAGCTATACCACATACCAAGCATAGGTCAGATCCTGGTCCTAACAGCTATACCACATACCAACCATAGCTCACAGCCTGGTTCTAACAGTTACACCACATACCAGGCATAGGTGACAGCCTTGTATTAGCACTTATACCACATACAAACATAGCTCAGAGCCTGGTCCTAACAGCTATACCACATACAAACATAGTTCAGAGTCTGGTCCTAACAACTATATTATCTTCGATCATTAATAGGAATGCATGTTAGGAATAATTTATACGGTATAAAACAAGACAAAATAAAAATTAAAAAAGTAAAATGAGAGAACATATTATATTGTATATGACTAACAGTTTATTGAGTATTATGTGCTATTGTACATTGTTGCATAAAATAGTGGATGGAGGAAATTAACATCCTGAACTGAGAGAAACCACCCCCCAAAACAGGAAGTTTTTGTTTTATATCCTTATCTATAGTAGAAAAGGGATTCTATCGAGGAAATACAAAAATAGGATGTTGAAACTTATATAATTCAGGGAGAAAATTCCCCATTGAGGAAAGTTAATCATTAGCACTGGCAAACCTTCCACAGTGTTTGTATAACTGAATATTTTAACAATTATGTTACATGAAAAAAAAGATTATGACTCAAAATAGCTTTAGGAAAGCAATAAGAAATATTGATTTTCAAGCATTAATTATTAGTTTTAGAAGAGAGAAGATTAAGGTAATTAAACATGCATGTCATTTTACATAGGTTAAAACTTAGATGTAGGGGTATGAATTCTGCTGACTAAATTTGAAGTATTATTCAGAAACAGAAACATATGTATCCCTTCATGCTTTGTTGACTAAATTCAACTTTAAGATAACTTTACAGGTGTTGTAGAGGATTTCTCCCATAGCCAGTTTCCCCCGGAAACTATAGAGTGGGATTCCCTCCGAGGGGAAATCTCACAATAGAGCCAAATCCCCCCCCCCCTCGTTCTTCCTCAGAGTTGGACCCCCCTTGTATCAATGCTTTCAAACACTTGTAACAAACCTTCCTCCATGTATACGTATAGCCATGATATTTTATTATGGGGGGGGGGGGGGTTGGCTCTGGTGGAAATCGCACTCTATAACTATAACACATAATAAGACTTCCCCCCGGAAAATTGACTCTGATATAGGATTTCAGGGGAAATCCTACTTTAGAGTCATTTTTCCGTGGGGGGAATCCTGCTCTACAGCCAATTTTCCGGGGGATCCTACTCTATAACCAGTTTTCCGGGGGGAGGGGGGGTTACAGGGGAAAGCCTTCTCCACAAGACCGGTAATTATTAAAGCTGTTCTGCAGATCTTAGGGGAAAATGGGACAGCAAAATTTTTAAAAAATCTTTTCCCTTTCAATGATTTCCGACTAATCGTCATAAATTCTTATATTAGTGTATCACCTCTAATTTCTATTTTTTCTGTGATTCAAGGCAGGGTATTATTTATACAGTCATTTGTTCTCTATCAACTTTAAAAGCCACTAAAATGCTTCACTTCACAAATACAGAAAACAAACGTTGTCAATGCAATATTTTTCCATATATGCTCTCTGTTTAAAAGATATACCAGATATTCTGCATATAACAGCCAGGGCTATGTCTCTGAATGAACAAACAAAAAACAAAAAAACAAAACAACAAAACAAAAAAAACAAAAAAACAAAAAAAAAAAAAACAAAAAAAAAACGAAGATAACAAAAGATGATCAATTTTATAAATCCTTCAAACAATACAAATCTTGAACGAGGCAAATTCGTTGACCCACTGGAAACACTAGAGGTGGGATCAGATGCCTAGGAGGAGTAAGCATCCCCTGTTGATCGGTCATACCCGCTGTGAGGCCTGTATATTGATACGTGTAAGTAATCCATTGTCAGAATATATGAAAATAATAGGATAACAATTGGTATGAAACATGTCGAACATGGGTCAAAAGCACAGAGAGGTATTCAAAACAAATCACTCACATCATTTTACTGAAGCTCAAAACCTCAGCGTTAATGATTACACATTGATATTTAGCGAAATGACAATGATCTTTTCGAATCTTAAGATCCAAAGAAAAGAAACCAAACATAGGACTCTCAAACTCATGTTACAATTAACAAATAAGATAATTTTCATAGATTTCTTTGTGCAAGACCTTTATCTCTTACAGTAACTATTCCTAAAATATTAGATTTTCAATCAGTTTCAAGTTTGGATATTTTGTAAATGTTTTGTAGGAAACTTTATAACGATGACCTCTTGCAGTTTGTTTGCCCAACATTTATTAATGGTTCACATATATATATTAGGGATATCAATTTTACTCGGACAGCTTAGTCGAATAGTCGGAAGCTTTAGTCGAACGATAGTCGAGTACTCGTTGAAATTTAAATTAATTTTTTCATGTCATTTTTCCTATTTGTCTTTAACCAGGTCTAGTACAATCACTAGATTTAGCTACGTAATAGCTTTATTTACCTACCTGAAGTAGCTTTATTTAGCTACTAAATCAAACTTATTTCTTTAATTAGCATTTTTCCCAGAAAGTGCAGAAAATTGCATTTAACAGACTGCTAGCCTGTACAATATTTAATTTACGCTATCACCATTATACAACGAATTATTGAATAGTTAACATTTACGTTGTAATAAATATATGTATCCAATGTATTTGATTTCAAATATAATATTTACTGCACATTTTATATACAGAATATCAAAAGCTCGCATTTATCTTTTCTTTTCATGCTGCTAGTACTTGTACCTGTTGTTGATTTCTTACCTTAAGCCATTGAATGTGTCTTCACAGTGACCCGTGATCGTTAAACAATTAAAGCGTAACTCTTATAAAAACAGAGAGCTTGTGATAAATTTTAATTATGAGATTTTTTGAAAACATTCAATACAATTTTGAAATGATTGATATTAATATCAGAAAGAAACACGCTCATAACTATCCCACAATTTACATGTATTTACAAATATGTAACAGCTGTTTAATTGTTATTCATTAATTAATAGTTGCATTATACGAGATCTTACAGAATTGCAAGTTGAAATTTTACAATTTGGATCTGACAGTTTTTAAAGTATGCCAATGCATGTTTGCCAAACAAAAAAATTCCTTTTGAACAATTAACAAAGACCGGTTAAGCCTTTCCCTGAGTTTTACTCACGAAATCATTGAACATAAATGAACTGAGCATTTCCATTTTTTTTTACCTTGAATTTAAGATTTCTATTAAGTAGCAAATTTTTAACGAATTACCGACTAAAAAAATTTAATCGATAGTCGGTATGATCGAACGATAGTCGATTACTCGAATATTTGTTGACATCCCTTATATATATATATATATATATATATATATATATATATATATATATATATATATATATATATATATATATATATATATATATATATATATATATATATATATATATATATATATATATATATATATTGGGGATGTCAAAATAGTTATTTTCCTTAGTCGATTATTCGATTGCATTATTCGAACGATAGTCGAATTTTCGGAACATTTTCTGAAAATAAAATTTTATTTCAAACTTCACTGGTACTTGACGTGTTTATAATTCAAAAACAGATTAACTGTTTAAAATATAACATAAAAATTAATGCAGCGTAACGTTGAATAGCAAGAATATATGAAAAAAATTTAGAAATCTAATTTTCCTAAATTCTTGATTTCCCCATCAATCGAATTCATAAATTGGTCTGTACATGCAGTTAGTTTTTATTTAAGTGAGCATTCAAAATTTGCTAGCCGATAATTTTTAATGCTTATTATGAAATAAATTAGGGAGGGGGTTAATCTCAAACTATCCAAACGCAAGTCGGCTGTTAAATTGTTAAACAGTTAGTTACGGCTTATTCATTTATTGATTGTTCTGGCTATCAAAATGTCCTTAATTATAAACAATTTAAAATGCAAGTTGTTTTAATAATTAGCGAAGCGTCAAAACATGTCACATGTTCCATGCATTTGAGCAATCTTAAAATAAAAGATAATTGGTACATCGTATAAA